AAACGCTAGGTTTTGGGGCCTTAGTAACACAAACCCCCAAGTTTTGCAATTTGTGTCAAAGAACCCAAGGCTTTGAGGCAAAATGCTTTATAAAGCCCTAGATTTATATACAAAACACTTACACGCCATTATAATGAACCAAATTTCAACTGTATACTTACATAGATACGCATTCCTAATCCTACCGTGTAGTCTATTTCCTTCCCCACTCTCCTACTGAATGAATACACAATGGCAAACTCCAGTTACAAAGACCAGGGCCGTCTCCAGGATATGGGGGCCCCAGAACAAAATGCAAATTGAGACCCTAAATTTTTAAAAAATAATGTGTCATTTTCAGTTATTATATAACTTTAATATGTGTTATTTCGTATGATATTTAGTACTTCCTCCGTTTCAGGTTATAAGACTTTCTAGCATTGCCCACATTCATAAATATGTTAATGAATCTAGACATATATATATGTCAAGATTCATTAACATATATATGAATATGGGCAATGCTAGAAAGTCTTATAACCTAAAACGGAGGTAGTAATATATTTTCAAATATTAATGGTACAAGAGTAAAGGTAGTACTAACCTTATGTTCCAGTGTAAAGCATCATCTGCTGAGGATTTGAGGACTTCCTGTTTTATAAAAAGGGAGAAGACGTTCACATTACTTTTGATTCGATAATTATCAATCCAATGGAATGATGGATCATTCAAAATACTGTAACAGTGTAACTTCATTAGCCTTGATTCAAATTAGTAATCAGTAAATTATCGATTCCGAGTACCAACTAGAGCTAGGCCTCGCAGCCTCGTCGCCGCTCGCCGTTCCCATTGCTCCGCTTGGCAACATCGGCGTTGTGCTGCCTGCTGCCGTGAGGCGTAATGCTGTCGCTGCCGCCTGCTGTGCTGCACACACGCAGCAAGTCGCGTCTCTCCACGAGTGAACACTAAAAAGTAAACAGTTAAGACGGAGCGACATATGTCTTCCGCCTGGGCACCTAGCGTAGCTCCTGATCTAGGGCCAGGCTGCAGGCCTACTCCGAGGCGGGGGCCCCCAAAAATAGGGGGCCTTGTGCGGCCGCCGTGCTCGCACATGGCCTTAGACGGCCCTGACAAAGACATGTTAACTGGGTACATAAATGCACAAACAGTCATGCCGTCAACATCGATACTTGTCGAGTAGGCGGCTAATGCACAAACAGTCAAGGTACTACTGAAAAAACTACCACATACTATTTTGTACAGCTATTATGCATAAATTCCATAGCTAGCTGGTTGATGTTGACACAAAATGGGGTTCTGTGAAACATTTGGGCCCAAAACCTGGGTTAGTTGAAATAAATTGCAAAATCTGGGTTCTTATGTTACTAGTACCACACTACCACTAAAACTGCAGATTTATGAAATCTACCTTATGTATAATTAAGCCTCCTAGGCTCTTAGGAACTGCTGCTAACAAAATAGTAGAGATATGATAGGATTTTGACAATAGGTAACAAATACTAAGAACAAGGAAACTAGAGATGGTATGATCAATTAAACTTGGTCCTTATCTGTTGAAGATGGTGTTGGAACTTTATCTTAGTGATGCCAGCTAGGAAGCCCTCATACCTGCTGCTAGGTGCTACAGTACGCTACTGTTCACCGGTGTCCATGGCTAGCACACCCTCATGGTTCCCCCCCCCTCCAAAAAAAAAAAAGATTAGTTATTACAGCATGTACCTTCGTTGTAATGGTGTTGTAAATAATAAAATATCAACAATTATTTCTTGGTGTTGGAGTATTAAACGTGTGACACTGGTCACCAAGGTGAATGATGCTTAAAATTTGGAATTTTTTAATTGTCTGCACTAGTTCGTGTTGTTACTTATAGTATAGAGAACCTAATGACTCGGCAGGGAGGACCACAAACTGATCGCTTACCATCTATCTGGTTCTGCAGGTTTGCCTGTCCTGGCGAAGGCCTTCCCCCAGAGATTGTTCAAGACATGTTTAGTAACTCCCGCTGGACAACCCAAGAGGGTATTGGCCTAAGCATATGCAGGAAGATCCTAAAATTGATGGGTGGCGAGGTCCAATATATAAGGGAGTCGGAGCGGAGTTTCTTCCATATCGTACTTGAGCTGCCCCAGCCTCAGCAAGCAGCAAGTAGGGGGACAAGCTGATATGGTGTATGCTCGTCGCTAACCTCGCATAACTATTCGGTCAACCAGGTGACCTGGGATCTTCTGATGGAGAACCCAGTTTATGAGAGTTCCAGAAACCAACATTTCGTCCACTCTGATGAAGCACATCTGAACTTTGGAACGGCATCGGTGATTCTCGGTGTCGAGGTGGTCCCTCCAGTCTCCTGATTCCTGGCATGCCCGACTGTAAGTTCAGCTTTGGACGATGTTGTTCTATTAGAGTTCTATGGCGGCAAGCAATGCACACTGACGGTCATGTAACTCGTAGCATAGGCCCACTACCACTTGGTTGAAGTACATATATGTTCTAAAAGCTGCCATGTATATAACATCGGTTATATATGTACTACGTGCATAAGGAGAGCTGTGCAGCTCCCAGGGTGGTATTTTGTAGGGCTTCCCAAGCCTATGACATCTTATTATATCATCTTAACATAAAAGCATTTGGTTTCCTTGGATGTCGGCATCTACTCGATTCCCCAATTCTGTTGTGCAGAGTATTGTCCTGATGTCTTCCTATGAATCTCTTGCTATTTTTATCCTGCCGTCGCTCGAGCGTGTGCAACCCGATGTCTTCCTGTGCCGTTTGCCTGTCCGGCTCGTGTATGGTGAGACCGTGAGATTGGCTGCTGAAACGCTGGGCCGGTGCGCATCAGCGCATGAGCCGCAACCTGCGGGCCTAGGTGACGTACGGCTTTCGACTGATCAGATAAACGATAAACGGAGAGGAGAAACGGTTGGGAGTTGGGACACAGGTTCCGTATCGTTTTCTAGCTCGCCTCTCCCTGCACCAACAGCGCTGTTTATTGCTCGGCAATAGTTTGTTCAGGACTGTCGACTAAGTTGCAAGACCAATGAACAGCCGGTACGAAGAGGAGTGCAGAATCGTATTTTACAGCTTGTATATGTACATGCACATGCCATCTGCCATCTGGTGGTTCCATGCTTGATGCTTCCATACAGTTACAAATGTTAACTTGTGTATAGATTATCGTAGTCGTAGGTAGGCTCCATCAAAATGCAAACCGAAGATTTAGGCCCTGTGGTGTTTTTCTAGACTGCCGATGCAGTTCCATAGGAGGACTACCTGTTCGGATTTATATATTAAAAAAAAGAACTGTAGAAATTTCATAAGAACAACCATTCGAATCACTTGAGGTATCTGGTAAAACAATATGTTTCAAATAAAATCGAAACCACTGACATATGCTTGAATGCTTGACAGTGCATTCACAACCAAAAATAGAACATTATTAAGACCGGGGGGGGGGGGGGTCCATATAGGTAGAATATGTAGAAAGTGACTGTAAATATGCTTAGGGTGTGTTTAGTTCACGTCAAAATTGAAAGTTTAATTGAAATTGGAATGATGTGACGGAAAAGTTGAAAGTTTGTGTGTGTAGGAAAATTTTGATGTGATGGAAAAGTTAGAAGTTTAAAGAAAAAGTTTGAACTAAACCAGGCGTTAAGTATGCATGTTCAGCACCAAGGCAGAGGCACAAGGGCGTCCTGCTATAATGTTTTTTTTTTCGTCTGTATCATGAATCAATACTGATATAAATGTTTTTTTTAAAAGATATAAATGTCCATCTTATCATACAAACAGCACTCAGCTGCATGTGGGGAGATTAAATGCTTGGCTGCAAATGGTGTGCAACCTTTTCTCCCTTTGCAGCTCATGCTTGGCTGCTTCCATATGATAGTTCGGCCTAATTATATACATGGCTCGAATTCATTCTCGTCGTCTACACCGATCATTGATGAGCATATGCTCGATTGGACCCATCAATCGGACCCAAACCGCGGAGTTGTAACAAATGCTCGACTTTCTCTCGTCGATCTCTTATCGATCAGACTCCAAAGGGGACAAATCAAAGATATCGATCGCTAAGTGGTCCAGTGTGTGACGGGAGCATGTCCCTGCAATAGCTATGATCCACAACCTGATCGACCTAGAGTTGGCCTTAGAGGAGTGCTTAGTTATTTGAGCACTATCCAAGTCATTCGGAATGTACCTATGTGAGCATTATCCTAGTAGTAGTACGTGGTAAAAGGCCATGGTGCACGGTGACTTTGGAACGTTCAGAGCTGGACCATCATGTCCCGGCTAAGCTAGCTGCTCAATCTCAAAAACCTCAAATCGTCAACCGTAGTAGTAACTCCTAGCTACCCTCCTGACCTGCCGTCCTCACCTGCTATCCATACGGTTGTGAATGGCATAATGGCACACACCAGACGTCCAGCTCGCGAATATGTGCTTATCTATATATACGCATTCTTTTTGTGAACACCATATGCATTATGAAATTTAACTATCTGAACTCACGAGATACAAAAACTCGTAATTTAGCTAGCCCCGGCTTCCCGCCCGTCCGGCATTCATATACAATTGTCTCACTCCGCTGCATCGCACATACCGTGGTATACATGCATTTATCTCACTTTTTCTGAACCTTACGTGCACACACAGGCATGCAGCTGTGCAATAACGCCATCTAACGATCGAACTAATAATTGCCACAAAATCGTCTGCGTGCGCCGGTATGCATGCACTGATATGCACGTGCCCGTCAAGCACCCCGCGGCCCGCGGGGCCGCGCGCGACCTGCATCCCTGCACTGTGGAACGTGCATCTGCATGCCCGGCGCCCGGACGAGAGCAGAGCAAAAGTTGGTTCGGCGACGGACGCCTACGCGTGAACATAAATGCACCGGCGCACCGCGCCGCCCCCTTCTCCGATCGACCCGAACCACACGTCCACACGCACCCCAAAACCCAAAAATCGACCATAAACCCTCGTCCCTCGTCCTTGCAGGCTTTAGTGTTTGGTCTGTCGAAGCTGATGAGAGGTCCAAGCCCTACTGTACAAAACTCTGGACTTTGGTCATCCTTTCCCCAACCACTTGCATTAACTCCACGCACACAGGATACACACTCACTCCGTTGTGGCGTTGTCCACTCGGCCACTTGAATACTTGATCCAGCTTGTATCAACGTACCATCCCCTGCTAGAGCTAGCTATATAAGCACGCGAACGCTCTTCGCTTCAATCATCGGATCGGAGCAGCAGCTCAACACTCATTAGTCCAGTGATAGCTAGCTAGCTACGAGCTTCATGGGGAGGACGGGGAGACGTGTGAGGGCCTTGGCGCTCGCGGCATTGGCCGCGGTGCTTGTTCTGGTGGCGTCCACTGAGGCACGGCTCCTTGAGAAGGAGACGTTGGGTGGCGGAGGAGGCTTCGGTGGTGGCGGTGGCTTTGGTGGTGGTGGTGGTCTTGGAGGAGGTGGTGGTGCAGGTGGTGGTTTCGGTGGAGGGCTTGGTCATGGCGGAGGTCTTGGCGGTGGGTTTGGAGGGGGTAAAGGTGGCGGCCTAGGCGGAGGCGGTGGTCTTGGTGGCGGAGGTGGCGCAGGTGGTGGTTTCGGTGGAGGGCTTGGTCATGGTGGTGGCCTTGGCGGTGGGTTCGGTGGTGGGAAGGGCGGTGGTCTTGGCGGAGGCGGCGGTCTTGGTGGTGGAGCCGGTGGAGGTGGAGGGCTTGGTAGTGGTGGTGGGCTAGGTGGCGGAGCTGGTGGTGGCCTCGGTGGTGGTGCAGGTGGAGGTGGCGGACTTGGTGGTGGTGCTGGAGGAGGACTTGGCGGTGGAGCCGGTGGTGGTGGTGGTGTTGGAGGAGGCCTCGGTGGTGGTGCCGGAGGTGGGCTTGGTAGTGGTGCTGGCGGAGGCGGTGGACTTGGTGGTGGTGCAGGTGGAGGTGGCGGACTTGGTGGTGGTGCTGGAGGAGGACTTGGCGGTGGAGCCGGTGGTGGTGGTGGTGCCGGAGGTGGGCTTGGTGGTGGTGCTGGCGGAGGCGGTGGACTTGGTGGTGGTGCAGGAGGCGGCCTTGGTGGGGGTGCCGGTGGAGGTGGCGGGCTTAGCGGTGGTGCAGGGGGAGGACTCGGTGGTGGTGCTGGTGCCGGTGGAGGTGGTGGACTCGGTGGTGGCACCGGAGGAGGTGGTGGACTCGGTGGTGGCACCGGAGGAGGTGGTGGACTAGGTGGTGGTGCCGGAGGCGGTCTTGGTGGTGGTGCAGGAGCAGGGGGAGGGCTAGGTGGCGGTGCTGGTGCCGGTGGAGGTGGTGGACTCGGTGGTGGCGCCGGAGGAGGTGGCGGACTAGGCGGTGGTGCTGGAGGCGGTCTTGGTGGTGGTGCAGGAGCAGGGGGAGGGCTAGGTGGCGGTGCTGGTGCCGGTGGAGGTGGTGGACTCGGTGGTGGCGCCGGAGGAGGTGGCGGACTAGGCGGTGGTGCCGGAGGCGGTCTTGGTGGTGGTGCAGGAGCAGGGGGAGGGCTAGGTGGCGGTGCTGGTACCGGTGGAGGTGGTGGACTCGGTGGTGGTGCTGGAGGAGGTGGTGGACTAGGCGGTGGTGCCGGAGGCGGCCTTGGTGGTGGTGCAGGAGCCGGTGGTGGGTTTGGAGGCGGTGCCGGTGCTGGTGGAGGTGGCGGACTTGGTGGTGGCGCCGGAGGAGGTGGCGGACTAGATGGTGGTGCTGGAGGTGGTGCAGAAGCGGGTGGTGGGTTTGGTGGTGGTGCTGGTGCTGGTACAGGTGGAGGTGGCGGACTCGGCGGTGGTGCTGGAGGAGGTGGCGGACTTGGTGGTGGCGCCGGAGGCGGCCTTGGTGGTGGTGCAGGAGCAGGCGGTGGCTTTGGGGGCGGCAAAGGTGGTGGCTTCGGCGGGGGGCTCGGTGGCAGCAGCGGTAGTGGTTTCGGTGGTGGGTTTGGTGCTGGTGGTGGAGCCGGAGGTGGTGCTGGTGCGGGTTTCGGCGGGGGCGCCGGTGCGGGTGGTGGTGGAGGGCTAGGTGCCGGAGGCGGAGGTGGTGGAGGTTTCGGTGGCGGAGGCGGCGTTGGCGGGAAGCTGTGAGAAGTAATGCATGCACTTTGACATGCATACGTACTCGGTTGTATGATGCATATAGATGGTTATACATACATATATATACAGATATACTATATGATTGGCTAATAAGTAATAGCTGATCTTGTACTTTATTTAAGTTTTAACGATCTTGTTAGTTTGTCTTTATGATTTACTTATTCATCTTGTTGGTATGGGAATAAACTAGTAAATTCTACTGTACATTTGCACTAGTTTGTTCTTTCCCATTCCCTATATATCAAAATAAATTAAATTACAAAGGTAGCTATATATATTTATGAACTGGAGAGCTCAGGTATATATAAATGGAACATTTGTTAGTCCTCGCTGACACGCCATATATGACAACGAATCCTCTCCTAGGTTCAATTTTTTTTTGACGGAGGGAGTAGTTAAGAAAACATCTCTCGTAGAGTAAATTTGTAAAGATAAGCGCAAGAATGTAAATGGGGAGTTGAAGTTTATGAGGGTGACAAATAGTTAAATTTCAGCCTTCTAACGTCCTAGAAGGACCCATTAGAGTGAAAGTGGATTTTTATTCCTCGATAGGACATCCCCTTATTTTATGCATGGTGTTTAAAAAATCATTAATTTTTTTTAAAAAATGTCAAGATAGATCTAAAATTCGACTTGTACGATTTGAAACAAATAAAATAACAAATTTAACCATGAATGACACGTTATATTCATTGTTAAATTTGTTATTTTTGTTTCTACTTATATAAGTTGGATTTGATCGTGCATGTTTATGAAGTGACATATCATATATTGATTTATCTTTCTGAATTGTTTTAACTTTTTTGATGATTTTTAGGTGACATAAAAAATGAGGGGCGTCCCCTTATGGGGATGAATAGAGTTTCCCCTTTGAAGTAGCCATTTCACACTAGATCGCTTTAGGAACCGAATTAAAAGTAGCAGAAATAATATATTTAGGGCATATAATATACACATGAAAATTAAATGTGATGTTCTATGCACTGGACAGTCATAAACCGAGCAATGTGCCTCAGTTCTAACTTGTAAGCAATAAAATGCGCAAGTTCATTTCGAGCTCATGATCAACAAATTAAATCTGCCATCTTCCTACTGCAAAGACACCAATCGTTCCAGTGCGCTTCCGTTTCGATTAGAAGTTTAGAACTCTTGACACCATGGTTACGGCTAGCCGGCCCAGAGCATGCATGCACACGCACATACATGTTACTACGTTTCTCTTTTTGGTTGGATATGATCAGTAGTAGTACGCCGGGAGCCACTCCTTGCCGTTGATGAAGTCGATGTTGATGAACTTGTCGGCCTCCTCCTGGGTGAGCTGCCGCGACCACGGCTCGCGCTTCGTCGCTTCGGAGCCCGGCCCGGTGCAGTTGAACTCCCCGAGCATCACGTGGCTGCACGCAACGCAAAAGCACGTACGCACGCAACAACAACAACATCGCATCAGCCATGCATGCACCACCGGTCGATCGATCGAAGGTGGTGAGATATGTGTAGTGATCACGCTATATATATGATTTTATATTACTCGGTGGATCCGGTGTAGCCGTAGCTGGTCCAGCCGGCCGGGTTGATGGTCTTGGAGAGGTAGGTGTCGGCGAAGATGACGCGCGAGTAGGCCTCGTTGGCGCGGCCCAGGTACACCTGCCCGACGCCGTACACCTTGCCCTTGATGAAGACGAAGCCGCTGCCGTCCTCCTGCTTGCGGTTCTGCGCCGTGATGGAGCCCTTGATCTCCGTCCGCCGGTCAGGCTTCACGAAGATCTCCGGGCACTGCGCATTCGCGTTCATCGATCGATCACCATTCGAAGATGTGTTTTTGCATGTATGGGTGACTGGGTGATGTGTGCTAATTTGTGCTTTGTTATACTTGGAAGATGGACTGGCCGCCGCCGAAGATGAAGTCGATGTTGCCCTGGATGTAACAGCTCTCGTAGTAGTGGCGGCCGGCGACGTCGAAGAGGGTGTGGTGGGGGCTGTAGAACGCGCAGTGGTAGAAGGCAATCTTGTCGCCGCCGACCATGGCGGCCACCGTGCGCACCTCCGGGACGTTGGGCAGCCCGGCGCGCGCGCTGTTCTGTGATCGATCGTTCCGTCGACGCACGCATGGATATACAAGGATCGTGTCAAGATTCAGAGACAGCGATATATGCACTGTGCACAGAGACAGAGAGAGAAACAGGGACGGACCCTGATGCTGAGGCCGAAGACGATGACGTTGTCCGCGTGCACGGTGAAGGCGGCAGACTCGGCGTTGTGGGAGGAAGCGGACTCGTGGTTGATTGAGGTCCGGCCCTTGCCGTTGCCCCTCACGAAGATGAACGGCTTGGTTTCCGGGATCATAACTTTCTCCCTGAACGCAGTCAATGCACGCATGCAAAAGATTCCTTACTACAATTTCTAGTGATCAAATTTGAACTTTGTATAGTATTTGTGTGGTGATATCCTTACACATGAATATATCTTATCAAAAAAATTTATAATTATTTGGATGAATGCCAGAAAGCTCGAGGAAAAAAAAAACACAGACAATCTCTGAGATAGACACGCATATATAGGTGCATGCAACCGTACACATGACGGTATCGGTACGAACCTGTAGATGCCGGAGCGGAGGTGGACGATGACCCACTCGGTGTTGCCGACGGGCACGGCGTCGATGGCGGACTGCACGGTCTTGAACTCGTCCTCGGGGCCGACGATCAGCGTGCGCTTGGCGTTGATCTTGGAGGTGAGCAGTGGGCCATTGACGATGTCGTTGCTCTTCTTGGCCGTCTTGGCGAGCGCGCGGCCGAGCGGCGACGAGAGCACCGCCGCGGCGACGGCGAGGAGAGGGAGGAGGAGGAGGCGTGGCCGGGCCATCGCTACGCACCGCGGGTTTCTGCGATCGAAGATGGCTTAGCCACTGGTTTGGTTTCTCCTAGTGCAATGCAGGGGAGGGGTGCTCTTAACAGGGCGCGCGGTTTCTGGCCTCTCGCTGGCCCCGGCGCATGGGAGGGCCGGGAGGGAATGGCGGACGCGCGCGCGGGCGCAGTGATGTTTCGGTGTTTTTGGTTTGGCTTTGGTTGAAAAGCCGTTGAAACCAACGCGTCGGCTTTGGAGGTTGGGCATTAGCTGGAGGAATAAGTCCACTTTGACTCCATTAAAAGTAAGCCGAATCTAATCCATGACCCTAAACCGCAAAACCGGATATCTCAACCCCGAACTATCGAAACCGGTGCAATTTGACTCCCATGGTGGTTTTGGAGGGCGGTTTTGGTGACGTGGCGCTGACGTGGCGGTGTTGTCATTCATACATAAAAAATGTGGGGCCCACTGACATGTGGGACCCGTTCTTCTTCCTCCCCTCTTCCTCCCGGGGGGGCTAATGGGCGATCGATCGATCAGCGATCGGATCCGGCCCCCCCTCCCCCTATACTTCTCCCTCTTCTCCCCTTTCCTCCTCCCCTTCTCCTCTTTCTACTACAGTAGACCACACAAAATTTTTTAAAAAATAAAAGTTAGAAAAATTTATGTATGGAAATACTATATATAAAAAATTTGAATTCAAATTCAAATTTGAATCGAGTATGTAAACTTTTGACTTATAAACTTTGGGTCTATAAACTTTAGATGTATAGAAATACTATATATAGAAAATATTTGAATTCAAATTTAAATTTGAATCGGGTATATAAACTTTAGATCTATAAACTTTAGGTCTATAAACTTTAGATGTATAGAAATACTATATATGAAAAATATTTGAATTCAAATTCAAATTTGAATAGGATATTTGAATTCAAATTCAAATTTGAAACGGATATTTGAATTCAAATTCAAATTTGAAACGGGTATGTAAACTTTTGACTTATAAACTTTAGGTCTATAAACTTTAGGTGTATAAACTTTAGATGTATAGAAATACTATATATATAAAAAATATTTAAATTCAAATTCAAATTTGAATCGGATATATAAACTTTTGACTTATAAATTTTGGTCTCTAAACTTTAGATGTGTAAACTTTAGGTGTATAAATTTATGAAAATAGGAAAGTAATACGGTGCCAAAAAAAGGAAACCAGGTGGAGAGGTGGAGGGAGGGAGAGGGGGGGGGGGTGGAAACTGATCGCTCTGGGCGAGCGAGGGTGATCGCTCGCCCAGTAGCACTTCCGCTTCCTCCCCTCTCTCTTTCTTTCTCTCTCTCCCCTTTGGCCGGCCGGGCCGCTGGGGGAGCACGGGCTGGAGCGGCGGCGGGTGGATGCCAGAGCGGGGAAAGCTGAAGCGGTGGTGGCGGTGGGAGCGGCGGCGGATGGCGCTCGCCCTGCAGGCCGACTGCTTCACTCGCGACCTGAGCCAGCTCATTATCGCCGACGTGATGTCCGGGTCAGTGCCGCTCGACGCAAGCACGAGTATCTCCGGGAGGGTGACCATCTTGGGTGTGTTCAAGCCAGACAAAATTAATTGCTCCCCTATGCCTACTCATCCTATTCTTCAGTGGATGGTGAACGACCTGCTAACAATCAATTTTATCTCTGGTTAGTTGCTAAATGAATCAATTTTATTTCTGGATTTTGTGATGCTTGTGGCCTTAGCAGCACCAGTTGAAGGAGACGCAATGGGGGATGAGTTGGTGGTGATGATAGGGCTGGCGCGGGAGTTGACGGCCACGCAGCGAGCTCGAGCAATGACTTGACGATGTCGTCGTTGCAATGCTAAATGGCGTAGCTCGATGGCGCCCCTTGCCCCTAACTAGCTTGACACTTGACAGGCTCGATGTCGCATACGCCGGATGCCCGGATCTTGTTGTTGCAATCGGCAAAGAGGCCAGAGCGCCGGATCTTGTTATCATGGACGGCGGGAGGCGGCGAAGGGAGCAGGGAGCTCGTTCCCCGGTGAGGGCGCCGTGCCGGTGGAGGTGAGGACTGGGGTTAGGGCGTTTAGGTGCCATGCCGTCGACCGCCGTCCCCCTGCTCAATCTTGTCGACGTCGGCATTGGCGTTGCCGTCCTCTCCCGCCTCCTTGCCAGCCATCGAGCTGCCTGTTGTCGCTCTGGAACCCGCCGTCAGCTCTAGCCCGCCGCTACCACCGCTTCAGCTTCCGCCGGCCGCCACCACTCTAGCCCCCGCTCGCCGCTGCTCCAGTCGTGCTCCCCGCGGCCGGCCGAAGGGGAGAAAAAGAGAAAGAAAGAGAGAAGGGAGGAAGAGGGGAGGAAGAAGAAAGAAGAAAGAAGAAAGAGAAAGAGAGGATGACATGTGGGGCCACATGTAAGTGGGCCCTATAATTTTTTATGTGTGTGAATGACAAACGGGTCCTATGTATATGTTTTTAATTCAAATGCCACCTAAGCGCCACATCAACCCCATAGACTAGTTCAACACTGCCACATTAGCGCCACATCACCAAAACTGCCCTCCAAAACCACCAAGGGAGTCAAATTGCACCGGTTTCAATAGTTCGGGGGGTCGAGATATCCGGTTTTGCGGTTTAGGGTAATGGATTAGATTTGGGTCACTTTTAAGGGAGTCAAAGTGGACTTATTCCTTCGCTGGATGGGTTGGTTAGGTCCGTCAGCCTCCTCGGGATGATTTTGTTTTTAGGCCCATTTGGAAGAAAGAAGTCTATTTGGCGTCCCTTATCTAATACCGTAAAACCGGATATAACATCTTCCCATCTCTAAAAACCAGAGATAATAAACTTCTTCGAAGGTTTGGGAAGTGGTTTCTGCATATGGGGCCCACATGTTAGTGAGACATGACAAAACATACATGGTGGGCCCCACATATCGTTCCTTTTCTCCTCCCAAACCTCTCCCCCTCTCTCTTCATTATCTCTCTTTGGTGTCAGCAAACCACCGAGGATACGGCTGCCACCAGGGGCACACTCGGTAGTGGCGAAACGGAGCCACTGGCTAGGGAAGGTGGCGACGACACCGAAAGTGCAGGGACTACATGTTAACGTTGAAATTTGGTAAGATTTATTTTAGTGAATTTGGTTAAGGAAAGAGTACAATCAGCCGATGGAAAGCTTATCTAGAAGAGTTCGAGTTCAAGTAGGAACCATGAAGACCATGGCGTGACGATTTAATACTATTTATTAATTAGGTAGGGTTTAGTAATTTTCCTTTATCTTTAGAAAGTTTGGTCTAGTGTCAGATCAGGCTTGTATATTTCCTTTCGTCTTTAAGAAACATGTGTCGTGTCCGATATGGACTAGTCACCCATGGATATAAATATGTACGCCCGGGGTCTTTGTAATCTATCTCTCGATCAATACAACTACTCTTGGTGCATCGTCACTCTCTTTTCCGAGGTTTTTTTTTATCACCAGCGGAACTTGGCAACTGATGCTTTATATTGGTGTTGTTCAAGGCTACATCGCTTCGATCTCTCGGGTTGCTCTGGTTTGGTTGGTATAGTTGTCTACCTGATATTTCAATTCTATCTTTAATTGTATTGTGTTTAGAGACACGTCGGTTTAATTAGGACTGTCTCGGTTAGGTCTAATCTTCTATCTTAGCTGATATATCTCTACAATCACAATGTTGTTTTAAATAGATTTGTTATATCCATCATGTTTGCATAGGCTTATCGGCTTATTGAGTATTAGGTTATCATATTGTTGATGCGAAAAACAACACGAAGGCCTGGAAGATCTGCTTAACTCCAATGCAGGTCCTAAAATATTGACAAGATACATGCGTGCCAGTCAGTTTCATCCTGTAACTGATAAGATATATAAATTTAAGATCAAAGAGTCGCTTGGTTGATGAGCCAATATTGCAACACTAGCCGATGTCAATATGGTTTTGAGCAATCAGCTATATATCCAATATAGATTCTGACACTTGAGTACATAACGATATAAAGATAACCGATCCATAATAATGTAACAAAACAATAATATAATCCAATAGAAACCAATCATATATGATAGAATAAGTGATGATCTGATCGTCAAAATATACATCAGTCGGAGGTCCGATGTCGTTAAATCCAAATATTTGTTGCGATCGGCTAAAACTATCTTGTCGATATAAACATTGATCATCAGTCAGACAACACGACTAGAGGACTCTCTTGAAAAAGATGGAAAAAATTAGCTACCAATACTACTCCAACAGAGTCCCCCCAAAAGAAACTACTCCAACAGTCACAAAAGGAGACGTGCTACGAGTAGATACAGCCTACAGCTAGTGACCAACTAGCAAAAACCACTCTTGGAAGAGCAGATCGTCGATCAAATGTGCGACGACGCGAGCTCTCGCGCTCATCCACAGTTCATCAACACGTCGTCGTGATCGCCGCATTGGCTGCGGCGCTGTCGTCCTCGGACGCCACAGCGCGCTGAGGAACGCGTCGCTCTTGCGCAGCTCCCTCCATCGTCGCTTCACGGCGCACGAGCTGCGGCCATAGACGGCCCTGCTGACGTGCTTCCATCGGTGGCCGGCGTCGTCGAGGTGCAGGCAGAGGCGAGCGAGCTCGGTGTCGTCGGCGGAGGTGAAATGGCGGTGGAAGACGTCACGGGCGAGGTGGTCCCTCCACCTGTCGCGGCACTGCGCGGGCGAGCGGCGGCGGCGCGGCATCTGCGCCGCCATGCGGCGCCAGTGGCGGGAGCCGTTCTCCATGGCGAGGCGCAGGACGGCGTCCTCCTCGGGCGTCCACGCCGGCGGGAGCCTGATGCGGACGACGCACCTCCCGAGCGGCGGCGACGCAGGTGAGGAAGCGACGGTGGTAGAGGAGGAGGAGAGCTCCATGTCCATGGCGTGTGGCACGTCGACGGTGTGTGTGTATGGATGAATGAATTGATTCTACTTATAGCCACGCACCTGCAGAGGCCATGTCCGACTCGGATTGGTAGTTCGACTTCCTTTCCTTTTTTCAGAAACTTTCATGTCTCCGTTTCGGATTAAAGCACGTAATACTAGTATACTAAAGCGAATCCGATTAGGTTTCAATAAGTAAATACTCCATCCGTCCTATAATATAAGGGATGATTTTGGAGGGTTGTGACACATTTCTATGTCTAGATTCGTAGTACTAGGATGTGTCACATTTCTATATCTAGATTCGTAGTACGGATGTGTCACATCTCTCCAAAATCCTTTATATTATTATATTACTAGCAAAAATGCCCGTGCGTTGCAACGGGTGAAAAATTTCAATGACAATATATGTTTTTCATAAATAACCATGCCAATGATAATATTTGTATTGATCGTTGTAGCTAAGACATATCATAAGGAAAATTGAAACAACTTCAATTAATGGCTCAACCTCGGCGATGGCAACCTTACCAATGCTTAGCTTTACCCAAAAGAATTGGATTATTCATGTGGCAGCATTTATATAATCTAAAATACTTTTTTCAATCTTACACTGCCTCCCGTATAATCAATCAAAATCTTACACTGGCTCGCATGGGACGGTCAAGTCTACACAAAATAGAGCCACCGTGCAATCTTCTCTAAATATTAATTAAAATATTATTTTAAATATTATTTTCATATAATATGTTATAAAGAATAGCAGCTATAGTAGTATGATAATTGCCTACAGAGACATGCAGGGCCATGAATATAGGATAATAGATGAGTAAACAAAAGTTGTGTAGGAGATGGAAAAAAATCGACGGATCCTATTTGACCCAAAAGTCCGTCAATTTGATCTCGTGGTCAGAAAAAAAAAGCCCAATCAAGACTTGTCTTAGTTCAAGATATCAGAACATTCGACCAATGCTTAAAAAACCAAACCGATGTGGTAGACGATTGACGATACAAACGTTATGAATTTTTTCATGGAATCAGAGTTTTCTTTTCCTAAATTCGGATTTTTTTCATTACACAGTGCCGAACCATATTTTTTTTATAAACAATGGTGTTTTTCTCGCTTTGAGTCAGACTTTTTTTCAGAGCTGTTCTTTTACAAATGGCAATATTTTTCTCGCGTAATCATAAAGTTTTCGCAAAGAAACGGTGGTTTTTTCCTAGCATTGAGTCGGACAGTTTTTTTATCTTTTTTTACAAACAGCGTTTTATTCTAACAATTTCTTTGGAGCGTTTTTTTATAAGGGTTTTTTTCGAGCGCAGTTTATATAAATTTGAATGAGATCTTTTTTCGCATTTTTTACTGGAATTGGACAGAATAATTTTTTAGCACTTTTTTCGCACTTGTTTTTTTCGGCACGGACGATGAAATATTTTTTAGAATTGGATATAAATCTTTTTTTGCACTATTTTTTTCTTTTTTTAAGAGAAGACGGAAACCCTTTTTTTCGTACCCTATTTTTGAATCGGACAAGAAAAAAATACACACTTTTTTTTCACGGTTGTTTTTTTTACAGAGATATTTTTTTCGCACTTTTTTTTTGGAGTGCCTAGCAATCATTCGAATGATTTTTTCATTCATCTCACTCGGATTTTTTAACATATGGATGTGCGCCACGTTGAAGAGGGAAACGGGCTAGCTTAATCGTAACAACGGACCCAATCTGACAGTTATAAGTCCAAAGAGGTTTAATAAATAAATAAAAATGTCATCAACATATGCATTAAAAAGTTACACTGTAATTTTAGTATAGTTATATTGTAATTTTAGTATAGTTACACTGTAATTTTAACTGTAATTTTAGTAGTTACAGTGTGATTATTACATAATTACACTGTAATTAATTTGTAAGTAGTATGTAACTTTGTTCTTTGGACACAAAAATAATATTGGTTCCTTGCTTAGTTGGTGAAAGGCCTTTGTTCGGCAACAAGAGATCGTGCGGTCGACTCCTCGCTTACACGTGAACACGCACATTTTATTTCCTCACCCGTGTAAGCACGAATCTTGACGCAATCAAACGGTCCAAAAATCAAATGATATGTAACAAGATTTATAGCAAAACCGTTTTTTTACGGAAGACGGAAACCCTTCCTTCGCACTTTTTTTTTGATCGGATAGTTCCGCACCTTTTTTTCGCGGTAGTTTTTTTTCGTACAGAAATATTTTTTTTCGCACTATTTATTTTTATGGAAAACAGAAACCCTTTTTTAGCACATTTTTTTTTGGATCGGACAGAAAAAAATTCGCTTTTTTTTTTGGCACACGAACGACGGTAATTTCTCAAACTTTTTTGTTCGCCCGGTTTTTTTTATCGGATAACTTTGGTTTTTTTTTCCACACAGTTTTATTTTCGCCCGATTTTTTTGGATCGGACAAATCTGGTTTTTTAAGTTGTAGAGATAGAGATAGGACGGAGAGAGTACAGAGTAATGAGTTTAGATTGTTCATCGTTTTGCACTTTCGATTTTGCTAGATATTTGTCATCAAATTTCTCCCCCTAATATTTGTCAGATGTAATTACAGTACAATCGTAGTGTAATTACACTGTAACTTGCATGTAATTACACTATAACTATAATGTAACTTGTATGTAACTTTCAAGAATCTCTCGGTAACATGTTATTTCAGTAAAATAGAGGTCGTGGGAACAAATCCTTTCACATATGTGTGTGCTATGATTTTTTTCTTCCTCACCAGAACAAATCTTGTAATAGATCTAACGATTCAAAATTACGTGAAACTTACATACAAGTTACACTATAGTCGCATGCAAGTTACAGTGTAATTACATACAAGTTATAGTGTAATTACACTACGATTGTACTATAATTACATCTGTCAAATTTTTACTAGAAAATTTGTCGACAAATATATAGGTGGTCCCTTGCACTTTTGCTTCGCTGATTGATGATTTGATTTGGGCCTGCACGTGTAGGCCCACGCTAAATTTCAGCCCACGAGCACAACGGCCCGGCTGGGTCACACACACACGTACGACCGCGACCGCGAGCCTTTCAGGGGAAGGCTCCACCCGCGACCATTAACTGACGAGGGCATGTGTGGCTTGTGAACTGGTAACGGTAAGTCCGTAACGGGTGGGGTTCGGGAGTTCAAGAGGCGCTCGTGGTGGCCAAATTGGCGATCCCAACGGTCACCGCCACGAAATTCGACCTCGCCTACCTTCTTGGTCGAATCCACCGTGCGCCCGCCGGAGTTGGGCAGCCGCTTGCCGGAGTTGGGCCGCTGTGTCGTCGTCGAGGTGCCTCTGCCTCGCCGCGGGGATCGCCTGCCGCTGTAACGTCGTTTTGTCTCACCCCATCTAGTTTGGTCTGGTCAGTTTGTTCCCCTTTCGTTCATTTGGCTTCCGTGGCGTCTCCTTTGGTGCGAGATTGCGCAGCCAAGGGGCAAGGGTGATCGCTAGTTTGGGTTTCGGCTGTTGTTTGCACCGATTCGTCCGTTCCCCGTGCTCGAGGTGCTTGGCTTGGGTCTGCTTTTCTTTCCGATTTTGCAAGTGTTGATGTCGATTTGGTTCTGCGCTTGCGTTTGCATGTGTTCTTAAATCTTAAGATGAGGCGCGCACGTTGATTCTGTAATTCGTGTCGTGATGACTTGTTTGTGGAGATAAGGGCGATAGGGCGATTTGATTTGTGATTTTTTGTGTTGTCCTGGCAGTGAGATCAGCGGTTTGAGCGGCGTGTTGAGATTTGTGTTCTTTTTTGTTTTTGCGGCTAGTGCGATTCGAACAGCGGGTTGATTTGTGTTTTTATTGTTTTTACAACAAGATGTGCGATTTGAATGGCATTGATTTCATAGATGGTGCGATTTCGATGGGCAGATTGATGTGAATTGTTTTGATTGTCCCTGTGGTGAGCAGATTGGACGTGTGTGCTAACGTTGGCGAGTTGATTTGTGTTTGGTGTACTTGTGCTTACAGTGAGGTGTCAGGCGTGATATTCATTTGTCTGGTCGGTTTTGTGGTGACATGTGGCCCATATGCCTAAGAATATGATTTGAGGAGTGGATTGATTTGATTTGGGTTGGCTTTAGCTGTTCATATAGTAAGGAGGTCGTCCTGAGTGAATTGATTTGGTTTTGGTCTAGGACCGATGCATGTCGTGAGTGGCCGATAAAATAAATTCCTTTTGGTGAGGTGGTTGATTTGTGATTAAGATATGATTCTATCTTAGGTTCTATTGCTTAAGTTGTCAGTATGGTTTTGCTTCCGGGCAAGAGTGCGTCTGGGTAATGGGTATATAGAAATAGGCTTGACTATGGTCCAATACAAGAGGTTGTGCTTGCGGTTAAGAATGTGATCAAGGGATGGTTTTGCCTTGCTTTTTGGCTTTAGATCGTTATAGTGGTGTTGTGCTTCTAAATGAGTGAATCTTATACCAATTGTTCTGTGGAGAGTTGGCAGTTTGCTGAATGTGTCTTTTATTCTTGTTTTTGCTTAGTAGGTTTTACGTAATGGGCTTCATTTGATTATATGTTGAATTGATTTAGATGAAGTTGTGCTTTTGATTAGAGAAACGTGATGTGCCTCCATACTATCATAAGTGCTCCCTCGTGTTTATGATTTTATTTGCTTGGTTATGGTCAACTACTGCATGCACAAGCACTTCTGTTCTTCTGCTTTCTGAATGAGGTAGCATTGCATCCATTAGGCATAATCACAAAAAGGGAAGATAACCGAATAACTGATTTTTAAAAATTCGTATATCTGTGTCATTTTGTTCATTTGTGTCAAAATGGTTAAATGCTTGAATGCATGGATCTCATAACATGTACATATATGCCTGAGTTTTATTTATTTATCTATTTACTATCTATGAGTATGTCTAATTGCATGGATATAAAAGTAGTTTTTGAAAACTTCCATCTCATTAACTCATTTATATGTTTTGAATGCATCTTCAAAGGCAATATGAAGTAATATACTATATGTAGAGTCCATGCTCAACATTTTACATTTTGTACAGGCTTAAATTAGTAATCCCATATCATCTTGGTTGCATTTTGGTCTCTGCTTATTTGGAGGTATATGGTTAGAATTGTTAACATTCAGGTCATGAAAGTGAATTGATCACATGTAGCTTTTGTTCTGTTTTTCGTCAAATATTTTTTGGACTTCTTTATTTAGTTGAGTTAATCATGGCAGGATCTCTTTTATTTAGCCGATCGGTTCTTTGGTCATCAACACATTTATCTATCTTGTCAGATGCAAGATCAAACTGACTGGCACACCCATATCTTATTCAAGATTTAGGATCTGCACTGGAGTTAAGCAGATGTGCTAGGACTTCGTGTTATTTTTCACGTCAACACCGCCGAAGGATGCGAGTGCCACCAAGGGGCGTCCGAGCCATTCCACAATACCTGCATGGCCCTCGCGGCCACCATCCCAATGATGATTGTGTCCATCGATTAATGCCTCGTGCCCGAGCACTGCTTTCCTGCCACATTCGATGACGCCGCAGACGTCGTTTGGTGGGTGCGCTCATATGTCGCCGGCGTGTCCAACAAGCCACTCTTCCTGATGGGCAGCCACGCCAGCGTGAGCATCGCTTTCCGCGTGATGCTGGTGATGGTGGACGAGGACGTCGAGCTATGGGAAGCACTTGAAAAAGGCGATGTGACAGTGGAAGCAAAGCTCGATGGTGTAGAGTACCGCACGATGGAGTTGTCCAAGGAGGACCGCACCGTAGAGTTCATCGCGCAGGTCACCAATCTCATCCGCGGTGAGAGGTGAGTGGTGGAGGAGGAAGAAAGGAATTAGTAGCTTATATGTGGGCTCCACGTATTTTTTTTAACTTTTTTCGATGACTAGGCTACCACGTTAGAAAAACACCCTCAAGACTACTGAAGGAGTCGTTTTTCACTGGTTTAAATATTTAGGGGAGCTGATATACCCGCATAGTCGTGATGTTGTTCATTTTCATGGCAACGGCAGATGTTGCAAACTTCAGGCGCACGGAGAGGAGAGATAAAGTCAAGTACGGCAACAGCGGTGGCACCACAACAACGACATTAGTGAGGAGGCGGTAGGCGATGGCGAGACAGGAGAGGAATGGGAGGATGTGGCGGCGGATCAGAGGAGGATAGGCACATAGGTGTTTGGCTGGGACGTGCGAGCTTCGGGCGCATGCCGAGAGGATGTCAAGGACAGCAGCAACAATGACAGAGAGGAGGCGGCGAGTGATGACGAGGTAGGGAGGAGATCGTGGTGCGCCGTGCACGGAGTAGGAGGAGGGAATCACCGCCACCGGACGACGTGTGCGGTTAGAGGAGTGATGCGCGGTTAGAGCATTCTAGCAGCTCATCCAAATTTAATCTTCATACGGATGGTCATCAAAAAAGATTCCTCCTTCATATCCTTTCCCACTCCAACAGATCATCCATATTGCATCCTTCACATCACATCCTTCTATATTTTACTAATATTTTCCAACTAATCATACATTTGTATTATTTTTTAAGGGCTATATTTGGAACAACTAATTCAGTTTAGAATTATTATAATCTAGATTATTTGGAGTAAACTGAAACAAATAAGTAGATTATTATAATATATAAGCCAGATTAGTATAATCTAATAATCTCCTTTGGAGGAGCTTTTTCTGCTAAAGACCCACTACCCTTATATGCCTCCAATAATTCAGACAAACAAACAACTCACAGCTTATTATATGCCAGCTTAGAGTAATCTGATTTAATTAGATTACAATAATCTTAAGCTGAAATAAACATGGCCTAAATTTAACAATGTTATTTATCACGGTAATCTAAATGATTACTCCTGTATCTTAACGGATATATTTTTAATGGATAATCTATTGCATTAAATTACCCAGTCTGTCTCTTTTTAGGCTGCGTTCTTTCAAAGGAGATCGGGGAGATTGTCACTCGTTTTCCGCGCGCACGCTTCCCAAAGTACTAAACGGTATATTTTTTACAAAAAAATTTCTATATGAAAGTTGCTTTAAAAATTCATATTAGTCCATTTTTAAAATTTAAAATAGTTAATACTCAATTAATCATGCGCTAATGGCTCACCTCGTTTCGTGTATCTTTCCAATCTTCTCAATCGCCTCTCCCTCAAATACATCCTTACTCTGCCCAGAGTCTGCCTTTTTCCCATTCTTTTGCAAATTCCTCTTTTTCTTTCTCGGCTTGTTTGGTAACTCGAGGGAAGGGGATTGGGAGTTTACACGAGGGAATTGATGATGAGATTAAGATGAGAATTTAATTTTTAATCCCAATATCTTGTTTGGTAGAGGTGATGAAAATTGATAGAGAATTTAGTTGGAGATTAGGTCATTAATAAAAACAGATGGCTGAGATTTGCTTAAATAAAGTAAAGGAGGAATTCCCTCCCAATTACCTGCCCCTACCCAGGTATTGAAAAGGAGGGAGTTCCTTCCTCAATTCTCCATGCTCATCCCACCAAAATTCTCATATCTCTCAACTAAACAAAACTCTTAATAGCCTCATCCCTCTTAACTCCCATTCCCTCCTAAAATCTCCCTCCAACCAATCAAACGGGCCGTCTGCTCTTTTCTCACTCGGAGGTGGAGGCCGGCAGGCGCGGAGGCACCGCGGCCTGCGGACGCGGAGGCGCGACGGCCCACGGGCGCGGAGGCAGCCGGCGGCCGGCGCTGACAGGATCGATGGCGGCGACCGACGGGCGCGGAAGAGCGGACGAAGGCGGCGGCGAGAGGCAGCCGGCGGGCGCGCGCAGGGCTGACGGCCGCAGCCGCCAGCCGGCCGGCGTGGTGGGTTGGAGGGGCGCATGCTCCCGCTGGCATGGGGTGGAGTAACATCCTCATTGCCACCACCTTCGAGCGTGAGCCCTCCCCCCTTCCCTGGATGGATGCTTGCGTAGCGGCGGAGGACGCCTTCTCCGCTCCTTGCCGCCCGATGGTGATGGACAAGGAAGGAGACGGGAAAATTTCTCCACCTCTTTCTTTTTCTTGAGAGAGAGAGACGAGACGGCTGGGAAGGGATGGGCCGCACCTTGGGCCCAAGCCCAACGTGCTTCATCTCTTCTTCTATCTTATCTTCTCTTCTCTTCGCCTCCGCTGCGCCGCGCATCCGCAACCGCATCGCCCATTCCATTTCCATGGCGCTCGCCGCCGCCGCCACCACCTTCCGCCCTCGCCTCGTCGTCACCGCCAAAGCCGACAACACCGACACTCGCCGTCGCCACTGGAAGGCCGGTGAGTTCCCCTTCCCCACCTCTTCCGACACTCCCCGCCGGAGCGCCCGCACCGCCGAGCGTCCGCCCGATAAGCCGAGGGATGAAGATGGGGATAGCAGCAGGAGGACTGGGCGCAGGCACTGGAAGGCAGGCGAATTCCCGGGCACGCAGGAGGACTCCAGGCGACCTCGGAGGAGCCCCATCAAGAACGTCAAGAAGCGGCTTGACGCGCGCGCCGAGGCCAAGGCGTGGGCCTGCACCGTCACCGAGGCCCTCGCTGATCGCATCGACGCCAAAAACTGGCAAGAGGCGCTCCAGGTACATTCAATCTCCATTTCTCTTCCGACTAGCAACTCCAATAAAGTAGCGCCCCCCTACCCACAATCTCCTGTATACTATATACTACATTTGACAACATGATGCCACCGGTTTTATTATACCTCCAGTTCAACCAGATATTCTTGTCCACAATTGGTGGATCGATCGATCCCATGTTAACTCAATCCTGGGATATGATGATTACCTGAGACGGCGATATGCCAGCAGGCAATAGCAACATAACAAGTTGATGATTTTTGTTGGCATTTTTATCAGTAACCTGAACAAATTAAGGCATGTCTGTTCTTACCCATGGTTAATACCCAGAGTCAGCTCTGTTAATACGTTAATACTTGCTCTCTGTTCGGTGTTCAACATCAGTGAGATTCATGAGAAATGAAGATCTCAGCCACTCAGATCTGTAAATTTCCTTATAATCCAGAAATTAAATAGGACTATAGTGAATAATTTTGAATTATTCACTATGCACTCACTGACGACACGGATGCTTTGCTAAGCCAGGTCTTCCAGATGCTCAAGGAGCAACCTTTCTATCATCCCAAAGAGGGCACTTTCATGAAGCTCCTCCTGCTGCTGGGCAGGTCAGGCCAGCCTTCCCGTGCTCGCTACCTCTTCGATGAGATGCTGCAGCAAGGATGCCAGCCCACCCCGGAGCTCTACACGGCCTTGATTGCTGCCTACTGCAGGAATGGCCTCCTCGACGACGCCTTCCGCCTTCTTGCCGATATGAAGGCCTCTCCGGTTTGCCAGCCTGACGTCTATACCTACAGCACCATCATCAAGGCTTGTGTTGATGCCTCAAGATTTGACATAGTCGATGCTATGTACAAAGATATGGCTGACCGCTCCATAGCGCCCAACACGGTCACGCAGAACATTGTCCTCAGTGGCTATGGCAGGGCTGGAAGGTTGGATGACATGGAGAAAGTACTCTCTGCAATGCTCGACAGCACAACTAGCAAACCAGATGTATGGACTATGAACATTATATTAAGCCTATTTGGTAACAGGGGTCAGATTGAATCTATGGAGAAGTGGTATGAGAAATTCCGAGGCTATGGGATCGAACCGGAGACTCGGACACTCAACATTCTCATTGGCGCATATGGGAAGAAGCGGATGTATGACAAGATGTCTGCAGTGATGGAGTACATGCGCAAGTTAGCGTTTCCATGGACCACTGCGACATTCAACAATGTGATTGAGGCATTCGCTGACGCAGGCGATGCAAAAAACATGGAGCACACATTTAACCAGATGCGTGCAGAGGGGATGAAGCCAGATACAAAGACATTTTGTTGTCTCATAAATGGGTTTGGCAATGCGGGTCTTTTCCATAAGGTGGTTGGCATGGTTAAGCTGGCTGAGAGGCTTGGTGTGCCAATGGATACAACTTTCCACAATGCTGTTCTCATGACATGTGTAAAAGCTGAGGATTTGATGGAGATGGAGAGGGTCTTCATGCGCATGAAGCAAATACAGTGTATCCCAGATGCTACAACATACTCCATTTTGGTGGGAGCTTATCGGAAGGAAGGAATGACTGACAAGATCTATGTTCTGCAACAGGAGAACCCGACTTTGGTTCCAACTGACCTTGTCCATGTGTAACTCTCACCACTGATCTGTACGTACTCTGTACTAACTAATGTAGTGAAGCGTTTTCAGATTATTCAGTTTCTTGATTTCAGTTTTTACTTTTAGTTGTCATCCAAGTTCTGCTTTGTGCAGACTGATAATTTTTTCTTTGAAAATGTAATATGACAATGAGATGATATGATGTCATGATGATGGGATTTACAACAAATTGAGCTTCATGTTTCATGGGTTTTTATTTATTTGTATATTTGCAATGGAGAAGAGAACATCGTTGTTAAATTTTTTTACAAGCAGTTTTAGTATATATATGAAAAGAGTATTCAGTACAACAACTATATCATAATGTTACTTTTATTTGCAGATGTGTGCCCATACTTATTATTTACTCAATCATATGTAGTCATTTGTTTACTGAAATCTAAATCAGGTACCTCAAAGACTATACATTGGATGAGCTGCAGTTCAATGGGATCGACACTGCTGCTTTTCTGACTCCTGTGGATCTGAATTTCAGTGTCAGACGCCCACCCAAACAGCATCTGAATTTGGGTGTCAGACGCCCAAACGGCCAGACCCTAACAACAGCTGCTAGAAAGGTCTTTGTTTCTCCTCAACTCTCATCTCGTATATATTTTTCCTTACCTGATTCCATGTTAAAAATGTTACTAAGCCTGAACCATTAATTTTGGTATGAATCATGTGAATTTTGAAGAGAATAACATGTGCACTGTTAATTCTGTTGGGCAGAATAAAACCTAGACTTGATTGGTACTATAATCTATCCAACTTATTCAGTTATTATGCTCTGTATTGTAGTCTAGCCAATTTATTCAATTATTCTTCTTTGTACTGTAGTCTAGCCAATTTATTCAGTTGTACTATTTCCAGAATAGGGGTACCCAGGGTGTCAAATTATTTGATTATGCTATGAGCTACATGCTAGAACCATTATGCTAAGTGGTCTCTCTACATCGCGCCGCAGACGGATTTCCCCGCTGCCGGTCGCCGCCCAATGGTTCATAAACTCTCAAAATATGCTCTCAGATTACTTCGTACTTATTGTCCTTCAATTTATAAACTCCCAATGGTTGAGTGCTCAATATATCTTATCTAATTTGGGAACACAGTATTTGATTGGCATTCGTATAAAGCTTGTAGTATCCCCAGATATACTAATTGACTTTGTTGTGGATGGGTGCATAACTGCAGATCATCAGCAGATGTATCAACACGGGGAATCTCGCCTAATTTCTACCCTGGCACCTCAAGCTGCATATCAATGGCCTTTGATGATAACTTTCAAGGACAGGAATGTAGTTGAGTTTTTTGTGTTCAGGTATGATCACCCTCGAAAAAAAGGTGTCATAAATGGTTATGAGATAGTAGAGATTTATGCTCCCATGAGACTCTGTAAATCTCTCATAAGGATGCCAATTTTCTGTAAGTGAAAACAAGCTAAAGTGCATGGAGAGTACTCACTCCGTACTCGTAAAGGAAGTCGTTTTGGACAGCGACACGGTCTCCAAAACACAACTTTGACTTCTTGTTTCTATAAAAATATTTATTGAAAAGTGATATATGTATACTTTTATGAAAGTATTTTTCAAGACAAATCTATTCATATAACTTTTACATTTTCAAACTCAACAACTTGAGAGTTATTCATGACCCAAGGTTTGATTTAAACATTGTCCTAAACGACTTACTTTACGAGTACAGAGGGAGTATCTTTGAAAGGAATATGAGCACAGAGCACTGGGTAGGCGTTTGCAACAAATCTTACATTTATTTCTATCTACTGTTAAAGAATGCTAATTAATCTGTAATTTGTCAACCTCCTAAGTTATATCTCGTATTATTCCTTCCTGTCATTTTACTGTGCCAATTACATTTGTTTTAACCAATTTTTTTAAATCTTCCAACATGGAGAATATAGGCCCTGGTATTTTGCTTTTTATAACAGGATTCCTGTAAGATAGCATGATTGCACTATACCTTGATCCCTCGGAGAGATGATATTTGCCATGTTTACCCAACTTTATTTGCTGACACTATTGATATCCTTCTGGTAATGGTTAGGTTTCCTGTTATTCATTCGATGTTATAAAATTTGTGACACTACATACCAAAAGGTTATTGTTGCTAATATATCCTCAAGAATTAGTGTGTTACAGACATCTGTAGATCAATTTTTCTTCGTGAGTCTTGTGGTCTCTGACGTGCAGATCATAGTACTCGTTACCAGCTATCAATGGTCTGGGCATTGCATATCAAACAAGTATCCTGTTTACGATTAAACATATGGCTGCCAGCCTACCACTGAATTTTTTTTCCCTAACATTTTAGCGGGAACCTGATCATGCTATCCCACCAGAGGACAGAGAAACGGTCATCGGCAATTATGTGTTTGCCATTCTGTATGTGCGGTATTGGGTATTTTATCCTTTTTATGTCTTTTGTGCTGCAGAATGAAAGCAGCTCAGCAAGCGATTGTTAGAGAAGAAGAGGATGGAGTCTCGCACTGAGTAGAGGTGGTTCTAAAATGTGGCTAGCAGAATAGGAAAAGAAGATTTTAGAAAGCTGCTTGACTTGAATAGCCTTGACTTGTGAAAAATTTTCATGCTTGATACATAGGAGGCGGCAAAAGCGAGTGCAAAAGGAACCTAGACAATACGGGTGGAAATGGAATGGTGGGCTCCAGCTCTTCAATTTGTTCATCCAATTAATATACATAGGCCTGTTCTGTAGCTTTGGTGAAATTCGAAATTACTCAAATCCACATATAGTCCGTATTGAAACGAGTCCATAATCGACGATTATACTGTATTTGTGGTTAGGTTGGTGACATTCCTATGAAATTAAATAGAAAGTTATAAAGCCTAATCAATCCGATTCCTTGTAAAAAACAATTGAGCCTATCTCTCTTATTTGATTTTGTGTTTTTTGTGTTTCTAATTTTATATTTTGCACTTATATTCTTATCAAAATCTGTGTTTTTTCAATATCTGCCTTTTCAATCATGCGTTCTGAGCCCGAAGTGTAGAATGAGGACATATACGCTACTAAATTTTTGAAGTGCCAGCAAAGTGGCGGTACATTACATGTTACAACTATTTAATGCATGTCTATGTAATCAGCAATATAATAACTTATGTTTTTTTAATAATAGAATATAATATCCGGCCTTTACTCAACAAGCTAAAGCCACTAATAACTTATGTACCATTCTTAAACCTATCTTATTTAATATTAAATTTGATTGGCAAAAGATATATGTTTGTTTGATTACTTAACAACCATTCAGGCGGAGTATCGTGTGATTAAACCCGCCATTCAGGGGGCTTGTAGTGCCTCTCCCCTCCCTTACCGCAGCCGCAACTTAGACTCCCCACGGTGCGGCACCGGCGGCTAAAGTGATGCCCGTAATCGCTGCCCCTGTGAGGCCACTGCCGCCTACGCTTCTCCAACTCTTTCGCTGGGCCGTACTGCTTTCATTCTATGCCCGCGTCAATTGTTTGCTGATTTGGTTGGAATTTATTGCTAATCTGTACTGCCATGTTAATTGATTTTTAGATGAAAGATCATTATAATGTTAATTGATTTTGATTTAGTAGGCAATTTTGTTTCAATATTTCCTCCTCTCTTTGTGAATTGAGTCCGAGAAAAGTAATTTTCTTAATTCACCGATGTGGTGCTTGGTAGTTTTATTAGTTTTTAGGGTTTGATTTTTATTACACTACTTCCAACCATTCCCCTGTTTGGAAGAACAGTAATTGAGCTAAAAACGCTGGAAATTATGGTCCCAAAACTTTTCCAGGGTGGAAAGCTTGGATGGGCTGTACCACATTAAAATTACGAGCGGTTTCAGCCCATTCCGTCGGAAAAATACTTGTACTCACAATCCACAGTATTAAATGACATGGATGTATATACAAATATAGACAGCACACACAAAAATTATTGTGAAATGTTATGCGTGTCACGACGCAATAAAAAAGGTGTACCGTATAGAATATATCCTGGGACACCGATAGTCCCTTTGATAAAAAAAAATGAGGTGCACGATAATATGTACATACACATCTCAAAATACATTATACTCATATGTATGAAAAATTAAATTGGACTGCCCATTTAAATATACTGCAAAATAATCACGACATGCACTCCATAAAAAGCGCGACATGATTGCAAAATAAACTATTTTATTATTGCACAAAAAAAAGTTCTCACGTGACATGAATCACATTGTACTGCTTTTAAAATGGGGGAATTCGATTAATGGGGACAAACAAAATATATTTTGTGTATGCCAGATATGTAGAAGAAAGATGTGAAAATCCATCTTTTAATATAGGTATTGGCGATAGTTATTAAAGACAAATAGAATTGCACCATAACATTTAGCACGAGGCATATTACTAGTTGTGATAGAAATGAAGAGAAATACATAATTAAATTTTAGTTAAAACTTATGTTTATATGTTTGTAGGAAATTCTTAAATATTAGTATCATTATCGCAAGACATAGATGGGAAGGCCATAAGTGCCTATAACGTGAAATTGACTTATGACAAAATAAAAGACATATATCACATAATCGTAACCATATAATAAGAGGCCCTAATCACTTTATAATTTAAAATTTACCATTTTATTATATACTAATATAATAATAAATATTAACTAATAAAAAAGAAAAAATATATAAATATACTTTTTCACCGATTTTACATTAATTTGCACGTCTATTAAGAAATGACAAAAAATATACCATTATGGCATAATGTAAGTGTAATACCACGCGGTCTCGCGTATTGGGTACGCGACACCACGGTCTCGCGCGGCGACGGCGTGAAACCGCGTAACCTTGCCCGGTAAGGACGCGAGACCACACGTACTCGCGCGGTTAATGGATCAATTAGCGTCATTAACAATTAATTAATTATTATTTATTTAATTAGCATCATTAGCAATTAATTAATCAACCAATAAGATTATTAATTGTTTCACTAACGTCATTCCGGCCTACGGTACGAGCTCTGAGACACAATGTTTGTATGACAGATGTGATCATATATTAATATTGTAGTATATATTTATAGGTAACTATTATATAAATTGAATATTAAATTGACTATAGATGATTTAGAGCTAACAGTTGGCTATTACTATTAAAATTGCTAGAAGCATTTCGTTCGTTGCTACCCGTAGTAATATCGTGCTAGTACTATGGTTTTGTGGATCAATGGCAATGACATGCCGTACGTACTGCTAATAGATTTTCGGCAAAATTTGCTATAGGATATTCAAAAAACGTATAATTAGATAAGGGACACTAGAATAATGTGTATATGCTGGAGAGCATCGTAAAAAATTAGTAATTAGCTGCTGGACACTCGCAACATTATTTTATTATTTCTGAAGAAAATGGAGAGAGAAACAGCTGTGAAACTATGGTTTTACCCTTGAACCCCAGTAAAGGCTCACTCCCCTATGGGACCCACCTATCAGGGAATATTATTTTTTTTCTTTTTCTCTCATACTCTACTCCTCGGTCTTCCTTTCTTCGTCATGTCTTCTTCCACGATGGCCAGCGCCTCCCCACCCATCGCGGCTCCAGGGATAGAGTTCATGGCACCGCCGCCGGGGCGTGACCACACGCAGGATTGCTCGCTCACCTACGCGCAGTGGAAGGAGGTGGACGCCTCCACGCGCCACCGCCTCTCACTCGACACCCGTGCCGCACTTGGCTACATCGCTCAGAGGATCTTCGCGCGGTTCATGGCCATTACCAAGCTCACGCTCCGCTGCGCCCAGGGCTCCGGGACGGACAGCCTCTCTGACGACGGGGCACGCCATGTGGTCGCTGTGCTGCCGTCCGAACGGCTCGCCAGGCTCAAGCTCCGCGGCCTTCGGTAGCTCTCCGACGATGGGTTTGCGTCGCTTGCTGGGGTCACGCCGGTGATCCGTAAACTGTCCGTCGCATCCATCAGTTTTGGGCCGAAGGCCTTCGTCGCCGTCCTCCGGTCGTGCCCCCTCCTCGAGGACCTCTCCGTCAAGCACCTTTGCGGCCTCCTGTAACCTCACGGCGTCCGGCTGGGAGCATCAGCCAGAGACCACGAGGAGCACCTAGGCGTTGGCAGTGGCGAGGAAGAGGCCCGCGGGGCCGTGGACGCAGCCGGAACCGGAGACGACGAGGAGCAGACCGGGGGAGCCGGTGAGGAAGCCATAGGGGCAAACTTGTCTTTAACGGATATTTCTCTCTCCATTTTCTCTGAAAATAATAAAATAATACTGCGAGTGTCCAACAACTAATTACCAGTTTTTTATGGTGTCCTCCAGCAAATACGGGTTCTTACGGTGTCTCCTAGCTAATTACAAGTTTTTTGGATGTCCTGTAGCAAATTTTGCCTAGATTTTCTGGGAGGCACAGGCGGCGAAACGGCGAGTAAGGCGAGTAAGGCCAAAGTGCCCCACTGTACAGGCCATGCTCTTCTACTCCCTCCGGGTTGATAATACTTGTCGTTTTGGACAAGGGCACGGTCTTAAAAAACAACTTTGACCATTATTTTCAATCATAATATGTAAAATGGTATTAACAAATATATGATCTTATTAAAGTACTTTTTAAGACTAATCTATACATGTAGTCACCATATTTGAAAGACAAATATTTTGAAAATGATTCATAATCAAAGATTCTAAAGTTTGACCTCACCCTTATCCAAAACGATAAGTATTATCAGCCCGGAGGGAGTATATAGAAAGGACTCGGCAAATTTACTACCCATGCAACTGATATGTGCAGGGGCCGGCAGACCTTACGATTTCGAACACTGCGAAGAAAACAGCAGGTCGATTGTAACCACTGTGGCACTAGTTTTCACACCGAGATCGACCAGATGAGAGCGACAACAATTCCGATATCAGAAGTCGCGATCGATAACATGAGCTCATTTAAGCAGAAGTCGGGGGCTACTGTCAGGGTTACGGATAAGGTATACCCTCTATCCTTAGATGTACGTTGTATACTGATACGGTATACCCGTGCGTATACGGATAATTTCCGTATACATTAAGGAAATCTATCACGTGATAGAGATGGTAACTACGGATGGAAGGAGTTCTACTCGGACAAGACTGGGTCTTTACCATATCGTGAGGGGTCCGATATCTCCGAGTCCTACTTGGAGATCAACTGACCCGTGATATATAAGGGACCCCCTGAGCAGGAGATCAACTGACCGCGGTATATAAGGGACCCCCTAGGCAGGACCGAAGGCATCGAATATCACCGCCAACACACCCACCACAGCCTACGGAGCCAGAGCGTGTAGGAGCCAAGTCGTCGGGAGATCTAGTCGGACCAACTCGACTACAGTCTCGTCAGTATCATCGAGTTATGCTATTCCCTTTGTAATCTGTGGTTTCCATCATATAATCCCATATCAACTGGATTAGGGCTATTACCTACCAAGGAGCCTAAACCAGTATAATCCTTGTCTTTTGTTTGCTTGATGTCGTACTACGTAGATCCTCGTATCAACGGACCCCAATACCCTCTATATCCGGTCTACGAGTATCCCCCGTCGACACTAACATACTAGTTCTGTAATGTGTTAATCAATTAGAAATGAAGGGAGTAAAGACCAACAAAGAATTATCATCTTCTCATTTAGATCAATCTCATAAATACAATACATGGATCCAGTGTAATTAGACAATTTTAGGGTGAAAGATTAAAACAGACGAATTTAGGAAAGATGTGCTAGTTAATTTTGCTTATCAATATACGCCTTGTATTATGAAAGGTTATGCCCAATATTTTAAATAGGAGTATATTTTAGGATAAATTTTTAATGTCATAAATTAATTCCTAATCCCTCTAGTTACATAGTACATAGTTCTTGACGTGTTGGGTAAGATTAAGGTTAAACTTTTATACAACTTTAATTATAAATAACTTTCAAAATAAAGTAAAGGCACTAGAATAGCGTACTATATAGATTTATCAAATAAAATACTATTAATAAAATAAAAATGTATGTATTTATTATATATATTACAGTAGAAAAGGTATAATAAAAGTATATTTTGGAGACCGTACTATTATTTAGAAAGTTAAAAATTATGAAACCGGCCGAGTGAGAATATTTCAGAAGTGACCTCAGATTCTAGGTTGTGTTCTTTTCTTCTCTGAAGATAAAGATTAAGTTTTTTACGTAAAACGAGATAGTATTAACGTATGATTGATTGAGTTTTAATTATTACAAACTTGAAAAATATATTAATATGATATTTTAGAGCAACTTTCATTTAGAAATTTTTTGCACGAAAACACCATTTAGCAGTTTGAAAAGCGTGTCATAAGAATCCTAATCTTCATTCAACTCTGGTTGGAGAAAAGAACGGGAGGCACACGGATGTTGCTATTTATAACTATCGAATGGACAGTACAGTAAATATGAGATAATAATAGTAAGACGGTTCAACGCATCGTGGTCCATCGAGACGTGAGACGGAGGCCGTAATACGGCGAGTAGTAATTGTCATCGCTGCAAGATTCATCGCTTGGCACCACCGCATGTTTCATTTCCAAGGACAGTAGTAAATGAAATTTGCAGTGTTCAGATCTGCGAGGAGTCGCCTATGGCCAGCCGTTCCTTCAGATCTTGGTGAGGCCGCAGGTGACGTTTATGATGCACGGTACGCTTCTGATGTCCTAAGAAGAATAAAAAGCCAACAAAATTGACGGCGTCCTATTGCAAAGAATCTGATCTGACGCTTTATATGTAGATTGATTTTCTGCCCAAAAACAGGGCAATTGGTGGCACGGAGATCCGTCTCTTCCTAAACGTGAAATTCTGTCCCCTTTCCAGTGACTCAAGTTCACGGGTAGTTGATGAAGGCTTGAAGAATGAGTAACCCATTCAATGCCAAATGCAAAAGTGTGTAATGTGACCAATAGGTTCATGTAAGAACAATGCCGATCTGAGTTTTTATATATATCGCCAACGACCTTCACAGCTCACACGATCTTTTCTCCATCGTTATTCTTGCTTCTTGGCTGCTTTATTTGCACTTGCATCGCTTCTTCTTTTTTAGTAACTCAGAGCTTCAGACTTCATCCGTGTGATTCACTGAACCAATCAGCCTCCTTTGTTTTTGTCCATTCCATGCATTTAATTTCCCCCACAATAATCTCATCTAACATTTCCTTGTGCCCTCTTAAATTCTGTTTTCCCATGCTATAAATAAGTAGGCAGACTTTCTACCACTCTCCACCAGTACCACCACTAAAAATTAAAGTGAGCTAAGCCAACACTTTGGCGGCAGAAACTTGCAGCTAAGCATTGTCCCTCCTCATCTGCAAAGGCAGAGGAGATACATTCTCTCGTCCTCTTTCGCTTGATATCAAGTTATCAACAGTGCTCTCCTATCCGTGAGCCGTGCACAACTGCACACGATGGTGTTGATTCGTCTTACTATGCTGATCTTTATCGCCATCCTCCTTGCCGGCCGCACATGCGTACTTGTTGTTGCCGGCGGTGGAATGCCGGCAACCTTCGTGTTCGGTGACTCGCTCGTCGACGCCGGCAACAACAACTATCTCGTCTCCCTGTCCAAGGCAAACTACCCACCAAACGGCATCGACTTCGACGGACACCAGCCCACCGGCCGGTACACCAACGGCCGCACCATCGTGGATATACTAGGTGAGCACATTAACTTGGTTTCTTACCTGAACTGCACTATTCCATTGCCTTTTTTTTGGAAAATACGGGGGGAAAACACTTATGCATCGTTATGTTAGGATTAGGTGGAGATTTCTCAGATGATACAACGATCTGACCTGCACGGACGCATTAGATCACCTAGGAACAGGAGATATAGGCAAAAGCTAATTCTCACAGCAATGTTTACGATCTTCATTGCCGGAACATGCATGGCTAATTGGGCTCATAAACTTTGGTTTAATTTTCAGGGCAGGAAATGTCGGGAGGATTTGTGCCGCCCTACCTGGCGCCGGAGACCGCCGGCGACGTCCTGCTTAAGGGCGTCAACTACGCGTCCGGCGGCGGAGGCATTCTGAACCAAACCGGGAGCATCTTCGTCAGTTCACTAAACTAGTCATTTTTTCGTGTGAAATCCTACTCTGCTTTTCGTTTTTTTTTAAAAAAAAATGCACTTGTTCCCGCGTAAGTTGAGAAGAGAGATGATCATTGCTTCTCCGTGATGCGCTTCTTCCGTAGCCTCTCTCTTGCGTGAGTGCGGCAACTAACAGTAACAGATCAGATCGGAATGCTGCCAGTTGACCGTTTTTCTTTTTTGGCCTAGTTCATCCTTCCATGATCTTTTGCAGCTGGTAACGTTTTTAATCGACCTGCCGACCGGTAACATAGCGTATTTATACGTGTGGATCTTGTTTTTGTAGGGTGGGCGCATCAATCTGGACGCCCAGATCGACAACTACGCCAACAACCGGCACGAGCTGATCAAGCGGCACGGGGAGTTGGAGGCGGTGACCCTGCTCCGTGGCGCGCTCTTCTCGGTCACGATGGGATCCAACGATTTCATCAACAACTACCTCACCCCAATCTTCGGCGTGCCGGAGCGCGCCGTGACGCCACCGGAGGTCTTCGTCGACGCCCTCATATCCAAATACCGGGAGCAGCTCATAGTAAGTGCCATTGCCGGTTTGCCACAGATCACACAAGCTGTGTGTGTTGGGCTCGAGGCTGCACCCGTGCACCGTACCTTTTTTCTCTGCAAGTAGCAGTAATTCGAGAGGGGTAATTACTTGTACTTAACCGTGGGGCGCGCGTGCGATTCAATGTGTGGCAGAGGCTGTACCTGCTGGACGCCCGTAAGATCGTGGTGGCGAACGTTGGGCCGATCGGGTGCATCCCGTACCTGAGGGACACGACGCCGACGGTCGGAACGGCGTGCGCCGAGTTCCCTAACCAGCTTGCCCGCAACTTCAACCGCAAGCTGCGCGGCCTGGTGGACGAGCTGAGCGCCAACCTCACCGGCTCCCGCTTCCTCTACGCCGACGTCTACCGCGTCTTCTCCGACATCATCGCCAACTACAAGTCGCACGGTAACATCCTTCTCCGTGGATTTTTACCATCGAGAAAACGTTCCCTCGTTTTGTGCGTGCCACGTTCTAATGATTTTTTTTATCACGTCGTCGTGTTGTTGTGGCAGGGTTCGAGGTGGCGGACTCGGCGTGCTGCTACGTGAGCGGGAGGTTCGGCGGGTTGCTGCCGTGCGGGCCGACGTCGCAGTACTGCGCGGACAGGTCCAAGTACGTGTTCTGGGACCCGTACCACCCAAGCGACGCCGCGAACGCGCTCATCGCCCGCCGGATCATCGACGGCGAGCCGGCGGACATCTTCCCGATCAACGTGCGCCAGCTGATCACGAGCTGATACCGATAATTCGGTTGTAGTACTAGCCTTCACGGGCTAGGAGTAGTAGAAGGAACTTGCAGGATAGCTATTGATTTCTGTCCGTTTGGACGCATATTTTGGGGAGACGCACTGATGGATATGTGCATGTGATGCCATTGATGGACTGTTCGATCTACACTAGTAAGTCATTTGATTTGGACTTGAGCGTCACACGCTCTGTTAGGGCAGTAGCAATACGTAGTCCCGGTCTTACCACGGAGCCCAACCTTCACGTATGAACAAGTAAATGAGGCTTCTATCTTCACAGTGCGCGTAGCTCTAGATGGGACTCACCACCAATTTTTTCACGCTGGCCCCACCACGAAAATCGTTGCACCTTGGGAGAAAAATCTGCTGCACCTCCCCAACTTTTGCCACTGCTTCGTGCTTCCCCAAATCTCTCTTATCCTCACTCCACGGCGGCGACCCCCGCTCCCTCCTCCTCTTCCTCTCCCACAACGGCGCATGGCAGCGACTCCCCCGCCCACTCCTCTCCTCCCACTGGCGGTGCACAGCAGCGACTCCTCCGCTGCCTCCTCTTCTACCGGTGAGACAAATCTAGCGCCCCCTCCCCCCCCCCCCCCCACACCGTTGGCGTCGCTTGGGAGAAGACGCGGTGGCGGTGGCCGCGGGAACCTCTCCCCTCGCTCTCCCACCTCCTAACTCGGTTACCCCGAGCCCTCGCAGTGGCGACGACCTCCCTGAGCGCCCCTACCCTCCTCGGCGAGCTTCTCCGAGACAAATAAAGTTTTTCTCTTCACTCCAATGCCGTTCTTCCCTCCGCCCCCCTCTCTCTCTCCACGCGCGGATGAGCACCTCTTTCTGACCAAACTATTGCAAGGTTCTCGTGACCAACTTTGGTCACGCAAAACCGATGAAGGAACGGTCCCCACTCCCCTCTCTCCTCCACGCAAGTGATTTGTCTACGTGGACCAACATTGCCACACACGCCATGTGTGTACACTGTGAATGCCTTTATGGTGTGAAGGGGTCGACAATCGGAACGAATTTTATCGACGATTTTGAAGTCCTCTCTCCATCCCAAAGATCCAAATTAGTTGTCTCTCTAACATTCAAATTTCGTCCTATAATATTCGTTACTCCAAAATATTTAGTTACCCTCATCAATCATACAAAATTCTTTTTTTTTCTATTCTACCCTAAACCAACCTTGTGTTCCTAACTATGTATCATTTGATAAGGGTATTATAGTCATTCTAAACCTTAGTGTATACTCTCTTCGTCCTAAAATAGATGTCATTTTAGGATTTAAAAATTCTCCAAAACCCTTATCATTTTGGAGTACATTTTATCACATCAATCACCTCCAATTCAAAAATTTCTCCACTCTACACCGAACCACCAACCATACATCATTTGGTAGAGGTTATTATAGTCATTTTCCCTAAACCTTAATATTTACCAAATAACTTAGAACATCAACTATATTGTAATGGAGGTAGTACCAAACAACCTAGAAAGACAGGTAATTTGACATGGAGGAAATATTATATTATTTTTTAAATAAACATAGTACAAATGCATATGCTTATAACGTGCACAAACTCATCCTTATGAACACACACATACGCTCTATCTATATGAGCATCTCCGAAAAACTGAACCGGTATATCTTGATGTGGAGGTTCTGCCAAGGGATCTAACTAGTTGGGTTACGTTCACTTTGTATCGACGTTTGATGTCGCGATTCCGGTATTTACATAGTATGGGGATCGTTGGTACTAGGATATATGCGAGTTTGAGGTAAAAGAGTTGGAGACAGGTATTTTTATACAGGTTCGGGCCCCTGAATTGTCAGGTAATAACCCTACTCCTGTTGGCCGAAGCCGATCGTTGCTCTTATTCATCATAATCACATCAGTACAATATTTAGGGTAGCCTATATATCTGTTGTCGACTTGGCGACCATAAAACCATCCTGTAGTCGACAACAGAGTAGTCTTTCTCCTCGAATCCGTGTTCGGCGTGATCAGAGACAGCACTAGATCCCTACTGACGGTAGTCGTAGGAACCGTATGGGGACTAACTAGGCTTATCTCCGATGTCGATATCTGGCGGCTTGTCTTGACGTATGTTGGCTTGTATGTTGATCTTGTGTCTTGATCTATTGCTCCATCTCCCCTCTCCTTCTAGGAGGCCTTGTATTTATACTCATAGGTGTCCCCTTGTCCAAGTAGAAATAGGGAAACCAATATGATACAATTCGAGTAGTCCTTGTCGTTTCCATGTAGAACTTGTCTTTCCTTATCCGGAACTTCTCCTATATCCGAAGGTTGTTTCCGTATAAGACATGGTATGTGGTGGGTCCTGCCGAGATTTAGTCAACTACTATTAGGTATGTGGTATCCATAACCCTGACAGTTTGCTTAGAGTATTATATTCCAATTATCTTTATCTATGGTTGATAAGCTAGGAAAAATAAACTATTATGCAATAAAAAATACACTAGGGCAAAATTATTATATTTGTATTTTAGCGATTTAAAAGTTAATGCTAGAATATAATCTACTATGAAAAACCTTAAAAATAACTCTATAAGATTGAAATTTGAGGTGTGACCGATGAAAAAAACCTTCACATGACGAGAAGCTTAAATTTAGAATGATAGTGTTAAACCAAAGTAATAAATTGTGAATAAGGGGCTGATAGCAGATTAATGGTTGGTACTACCTCCGTCCTAAAATAAGTTTAGCCGTGGATATTCGTGCCCAACGTTTGACTGTCCGTCTTATTTGAAAAATTTAAAAATATTTAGTCTCACACATAAAGTATTATTCATGTTTTATCATCTAATAGCAATAAAAATACTAATCATAACAAAATTTCAAATAAGACGAACGGTCAAACATTGAACGTGAATAGTGCAAAACTGCACTTATTTTGGGACGGAGGGTGTAGCAGATATCGGGTGCTATTTCCAACGAAAAGTTTCAATAGCAAATTATTAAGGAAAAAGTACAAATTACACCCCCCCGAACTATCGCGGTCGTCCGAATTACCCCCCTGAACCACAAAACCGGACATTCTTCACCCCCAACTATGCAAACCGGACGAATTACCCCCCCTTGACCCAATCAGTGGTGGTTTTGGTCTACGTGGCGTACGCGTGGCAGTCCAGTCAGCAATTTATTTAGGGCCCCTTTGAATCGTAGGGTAAAAAAACGGAGGAATAGGAAAAACACAGGATTCTGACAGGAATTGAGGTGTAAAACAGAGAATTGCAAAACACAGGAATAGTCGTTTGATTGGAGCACAGGAATCGGATGAGAGACATAGACTCAAAGGAAATTTTTCAAGAGGTTGGAGCTCTTGCTAAATTTTCTCCAAAATCCATATGCAATGTGTCATTCCATAGGAATTTTATAGGATTTGGAAAGCTTCAATCCTTTGAATCAAAGGGCCACATAGGAAAATTTCATATAGGATTTGAATCCTATGATATTCCTACATAAATCCTTTGATTCAAAGGGGCTCTATCAAAAAATAGGTGCGCCCCACCTGTCATACTCCTATTGCACTTTTCCTCTCTCCCTTCTCTCTCTCTCACTCTTCCTCTCTCTCTCTTCTCTCACTCTCTGTCTCACGCGCACAGCGGCAGGCGGGGGGCGGCGAGCGGCGGCGGCGAGGTGAGGCGGCGGCGGCGGCGGCGGCGGAGGAGGCCAGTGGCGGGGGATGAGGCGGCGAGCGGCGGCGGGGTGCGGCGGAGGAGGCGAGGCGACGTGGTGGCGACGACGGAGGAGGCGAGCGGCGGCGGGGTGCGGCGGAGCTCGCGTTGCTCGAGCAAGGGCGGCGGCGGGCGTCCTCCAGCGCGCGCTCCGCCGCCGCGGCCTCCTCGCGCGCCCGCTCCCGCGCCGCGCCTGCTACGGCCTTCTCCTCCAGCGCGCGCCTCACCTCTTTCCGCTGCTCCTCCTCCTCCCCTCCTACCGGCGCGGCCGCGGCGCCGCTGTCGGACGCCGCGACGATGATGGACGCCGGGAAGAGCTGCAGCTTAGGCAGCAGCGGCGGCGGCAGATGATGATGATGATGCCGCAGCGCCGCGGGACGGATGACTAGCAGCGTCGTCACCACGGGCACGACCTCGCTGCGCACCCGTCCAGAGTTACACGCATCCTGGTGCTCTATGAAGCTCTCCACCCTGCAACCACACGCACACAACCACCCCCTAAACCAAACCACCGCCATTAGCGCACACTAACCATACCACTTAACCACCATCTCATCACCAAACACAACAAAAACACGGCGATCGATTCGAAGATTGATCGATCATCTGTACATGTAGATGTAGATCGATCGAACACGACACACACTGACCAATCGTGAGAGCATGAGACAACCAGAAGAAACCAATGGGACAACCTCGTCTCGTCTCCTCTCCGCCGCCTCGCCTCCTCCGCCACCGCCTCGCCACGCCGCCGCCGCCTCGCCTCGCTCGAGCAGCGCGAGCTCCCACCGCCGCCGCTCGCCGCACCCCGCCTGCCGTTGTGCGCGTGCGCGTGAGACAGAGTGAGAGAAGAGAGAGAGAGGAAGAGTGAGAGAGAGAAGAGAGGAAAAGTGCAATATGAGTATGACAGGTGGGTCCCAGTATTTTTTAATAAATAAATTATTGACTGGACTGCCACGCGTACGCCACGTAGACCAAAACCATCGCGGATTAGGTCGAGGGGGTAATTCATCCGGATTGCATAGTTAGGGGTGAAGAATGTCCGGTTTTATGGTTCAGGGGGTAATTCGGACTGCCGCGATAGTTGGGGGGGTAATTCGTACTTTTTCTAATTATTAAAGAGTAAATTGAGTTTCAGCTATTATTTTACCAAAGTTTTATTTTGGACACCATTTAGTCTATCCTTTCACTGTGGACAAAGTTGTTTTGCCTTTGTTTCATTTTATACCACCTTAAAATATTTCTGGAGTGCATCAATAACCTCAACCACATCCGCACCTATATATCGATAATCTTTCCAACTTGCAAGTTGGCTATTTTTCGCCGGACGAGTGGATAAATGCAGACGAGACTTAGGCTGAGTTTGTTGTTTGGTGTTGGAAACTCAATCCTCTTGCGTATAAAACGGAGTGACTCATTAGCGTCATTAGCGTGTATAGTAATTAAGTAGTATTAGCTTTTAAAAAAATAGATTAATGTGTTTTTTAAAGTAACTTTCATATATTTTTTTCTCCTTTTTTTTTGAAAAAAAACACACTGTTCAGTGGTTTGATGCATGTAGAAAAATGATGGAGTTGAGTTGTGAACTTTAACAAAAAGAACTCATCCTTAGAGCAAGTATAATACTCCCTCCATTCTAAATTGATCTACATATAATTTTTTTAAGGTTATTCCTAAATGATCTATATATTTGTGTTCATTTATTAAGTCTATTCGTTATTTGTGCATTGGAGTAAATGAACATTGATACATGCATCCATGCACACAAGTATTTATAATCCAGATGCAATATCTTGATTTACTATTGGCTAGGAAATAGTGGGGATGGTGCATGTATTGAGTTTGTTGCTAGAGTAAATATAGTATGAGAGAGTTATTAGCTTTTCTTGGTCTTGGTGTACCTATGAAATATGTAGATCAATTTAGAATGGAGGGAGTAGTAGGCTATAAGCCGGCTAAATGCTAAGGTGGAGGAGAGAAGAGAGGAGAGAGGAGAAGCGAACTGTAAACTTATCTTCGACACAAGAACCAAGAAACTCAATGAGAAAAACAGGTGCGCCATGTATTAATTGTAAAGAGCTAACTATTATATAGGTAGGCTGAGAGAAAGCTACAAAGAACCTTATAGCCAACAGGTCGGCTGTATTATTAGCCTTGCTCCGAGGATGCGTTCGTTACCTCCCGTTCCCAACTTCCCTCCCTCGTATTTCGCGCGCACGCTTTTCAAACTGCTAAACGGTGCGTTTTTTTTGCAAAAAAATTCTATAAGAGCAAGTTTAATAGTATAGCCCACTATTAACTCCAAATCATCTATAGCCAATGTAATAGCCAATTCATACAATAGTTACTTACTATACTATTAATATCTGGTCCCACCTGTCATACACACATTACGTCTTGGAGTCCATGCTGCAGCTGGCTACAGATCTGTAGCCCACTGCTCTTCTCTCTCTTCCTTTATCTCTTTAAAATATGTTTATAGCTAGCTTATAGCCTGCTATTGTACCCGTTCTAAGAAAAATGCTTAAAAAATCATATTAATCATTTTTGAAAAAATAGCAAATACTTAATTATTCACCCGCTAATCGCTGCTCTGTTTTCCGTGCTAGGGAGTGACGGTTCCTAACCCTTACTCCCGAACACAACCTTAGAGTGGTTCAGAGTGCAACAAAAGTAAAAGTAATATTTTGTAGTACAAAGTGAAAAGATTATCTAAAGAGTAGTTTAAAGTGAAGCTTCGTAATAAAAGATGAATCAAAGTGCAATTATGTCTAAATTAAAAAAAAATCAACGATAAATTTAGATTATTTATCAATGCTATTCACTTAAAGTTTAGAAGTTTAGACTACATACCTAATTACTCATACATTTTATATAATAAAGTTTACAAAACAACATATATGAATAAAAAAACATAAATGTTAATCTCTCCTATCCATCCATTCATTAAGAACATCTTTTAAACACAATAACTACCCAATATACTTCCCCGCAAAAAAAAAAACTACCCAATATACGTTCCATAAATCCATCTAAGTTTTTTTTCCCTTTTTGGCACAGGAGTAGCAATCCCGTTCGTCACGGGCTCACGGCACAGCGTTGATGAGTCGCACAATATGCTGAATTGCTGATATGCTTTATTTTCTTACTCCTAAAACAAATGACACGTCACGCGTCACCAGCCTTATCAACATCAACCGCTATTTGCCTATTTGCCCCCCCCCCCCCCCAAAGTGGGGTCCACATGCAGTATTGCAGTGTCAAAAGGTCTCTTCCAAAAAAAAGAGACACGAGCACACGCTACTCCCATCCCCACTCTCGTCGCTCGTCGGTATACCAAACCGAAAAGCTAGTCAATCCGACCCCACCCGATCCGATGGCCGCCACATCGCCGGACTCCGGCGACCTCATCCTGGTCGAGCCGGCCAAGCCGGGGTCCCGGGTCGCCGTCGTCACCATCAACCGGCCCAAAGCGCTGAACGCGCTGACGCGGCCCATGATGGTCTCACTGGCCGCGGCGTTCCGGCGGCTGGACGCCGACGACGGGGTGGCGGCGGTGGTGCTCGCGGGGCGCGGCCGCGCGTTCTGCTCCGGCGTGGACCTGACCGCTGCGGAGGAGGTGTTCAAGGGCGACGTGAAGGATCCCGCCGCCGACCCCGTCGTCCAGATGGAGCGCTGTCGCAAGCCCATCGTCGGCGCCATCGCCGGATTCGCCGTCACCGCCGGATTTGAGATCGCCCTCGCCTGCGACATCCTAGTGGCCGGCCGCTCCGCTAAGTTCATCGACACCCACGCCAAGTGAGTTCGCCCCCCTCCACCTCTTGAGTCAACAACTTATTCTTGCAAAAAGGATCACAAGTTGTAAATACTGCTCTTGATTTTCTCAATTAGAGTATCTTAGTTCCTCTATTTTGGCAATTTGAGCTCGATACCTTGGTCACCAAATAGTACAAAATATGATGACAAGTAATCCAGTGCGATGTACTAGAAAGTCTCTTTTTTATATGAAATCTACTAGAAAAGCCCTAGCTCTTTTGCCTTTTGGATATTATCCTCTACGCTCGAGTAGTGTGAGCATGGGCAGAACACGGTGAAATTTGAATGTTTAATTACAGTTGTTTTCCTTTGGTAATTGATTTTGGACCATAAGATTGTCTTGAATAGTTCCATGGAAGAGATCCTATCTTATCCTGCAGTTTCAGAAGGGGGAACTCGATATTGGAATTGGAATTTCTACTTTTATTAGGCAGAGTTACACACTGAAGTCCTGCTAAATGCATATACTTGTTCTATCTTCAGACAATGCATATAAATCATGTAGGGATTGATGCCCTTGCCACACCCTTGGGCGCTGTTTTTTGATCAGCTTTTGTTCAATATATATCTTTAAATAGTATGTAATCATGTTTGTATCAATGCCATTGCCACAACATTGTGCCCTATTTTTCTGATCTGCTTTTGTTCAATGTGATGTAGGTTTGGGATATTCCCTTCTTGGGGTCTTTCACAGAAGCTTTCTCGTGTCATTGGACCAAATAGAGCACGGGAAGTGTCGTTAACTTGCATGCCTATCACAGCTGAAATGGCGGAGAAGTGGGGTCTTGTTAACCACATTGTGGATGATACCCAGGTGCTGAGTAAGGCAATAGAGGTCTGTGAGGCCATTGCAAGGAACAATCGCAACTTGGTTGTGTTGTATAAATCTGTTATAAATGACGGGCTCCAGCTGGACTTGGAACATGCTCGAGCTCTTGAAAAGGTTTGTACCTACACAATGTGGTGCTTAAACTATTTAACTTCTAGTAGAGCTTGGCAGAATTTAACAACAAATTAACAAGTGAAACTAGGCAGAGTTATGGTGATTTCCTCCATTAGAAATATAACATCTGATAAATCCTTTTTGGTGAACAAACTTTGTAAAAAGAAAGTCTTTTTTGGGCGAGGTAGCAAGCTTTTTAGATTGACACTGTGTTTACCGATTGAAGATGGATATTGTCTATGGGATTATATTGGGTCTGAACAGAAAGAAACAGGAAATATCTTCTATCGTTGTTAATATGCTCCAGAAATGCATCCTCATGTTAGCATTGTTATGATTTCAGGAAAGAGCTCATGACTATTACAATGGTATGACAAAAGAGCAATTCGCAAGTATGCAGAAATTTATACAGGGCCGGAGTTCGAAGCCACCATCAAAGCTGTGATGATATATGTTCTGTACCACTGTATGTACCGAAATATCAATGTACTGTATACATCCACTGAAGTGTTCAATGACCTGAAAGAAAAATAAACACTGCCAATGTTGCATACAAAGAAAGTACCATCTTCACATGTGTTATTGGAAGAGTATCGCAGCCTATGCTGCTGTTTTCTGTTCTTTGCCTGTATGTTCCTGTTCGCCCTTTTTCTTTACGCCTGCAATTTTGTTGGTAAAATGGCGTTCCGAGCTGGACGATCACTTCCTAAACTTTCGAAGGTGAAGTGCGAGTGCCTTCTTTGATGCGTGGGTGAAGTTTCTGAGTAAGCGATCAATGTTGCTGGTGAAAATCTGAGGCCGCTGCTCTTTTTATCATGCTGGTGCTGGTGTTTTTATTCCATGGAGCCACCAGAACCAAGCATCCGTGTCTAGTTCAATTGTTTAGTTTTGACTTTTGAGACATCACCTTTGATCGAAATGAATTAAGGTTTGTAATGTTTTTATGGTTCAAATACTTAAATTTGTGTCTGCGCTTTGAATTTTTTTTGGGTTATTTGGGTCTCTGGTTATATACTAGACTACCCTCTTTGGCACAACTTCAAATTCAATATTTCTTCTTAAATATGTGTATTTCTAACTTCACAAATTCATTATCTAGACCTGCGATAGTGCGATTAAGTTGATAATATTTATATAAATAATTTTGTTCTCACTTTAGATAAAAATTTAAAATTTAAATCATTACTATAATTTAATATACAAAATTTAAATATATCGTGATCTATAGCTATGCCAAACAGACCCGAGTTTTTATCGTTAAGAGTTAAGTCTCTGAAATCCATCTCAGACATCGCAACATCGACCAGTCCACACAAGTCAAGACATCACCGATCTCAAAGCAACGGCCAAGCCGAGAGAGCGCAACCCAAACCACGCGCCCGCCGTGGACCGTCGTCGTTCCGCACTTCCGCCGGCCGCGCACCCCCGCTGCTCCGCCTCCCGATTGCCTCGTAGGCGGCGGCGGCGGCGAAGCTTCCTGAAACCCCGACCCTAGGGTTTCTCCCCGCCTCCCCGGGCGCTGCCTCCCATGGCGCCTTCCCTGCTCCTCCTCCGCCTCCTCCTCCTCCTCCTCGCGGTCGCCGTGGCCACCTCCGCGGCGGCTCGGCGGGAGGCGTTCCGCCGGGATCCCGGCCACCCGCAGTGGCACCACGGCGCTTTCCACGACGTCGAGGACAGCGTCCGCGCCGACGTGCGCCGCATGCTCCACACGCGCGCAGAGGTAACTTACTCATCGTCACTCTCATCCCCCCCTCGTCGCTCGTCGGCTCCCCCCGTTAAATCTCTCTCGCCCGCACACGAGTGGCGCACGTCGACAGAGGTGATCCGGTGGTTTTGAGCTCGGATGAATTCGAGCTTGGTAGTAGCTTGCGATGCGGTGAATTTTACTCTCGATGTACGGGATCTGCAGGTGGATTTCGTTCCTCTCCCCTCGTGAGATCGACCGCCGTTTTGATGTTGTGGGACGTGCAAAGTTTGTAGATTTTAGAATTTGTATGCTTATAAGTTGGAATTCTTCCTCCGAGCATGTGTGAGACTGTTTAGATGTGCTAGCATTATGAGTGCCTGCAAGATGGCATAAGGAAAGAAAAGACCTTGTGAGAAGTTTTTTGTTGTAGTTGACTGGCTGTTGTAACTTTTGTCCACACTGGTGCTCATACAACAAGAATAGCATAACAAACTGTAGTAATCTTAACTTTCTGTAATCATTTGTTGCTGCTCTACTTTATGTTTCTTCTGAAACATTCATTGTGTGCATCTTTTACGTTTGCAATGTCTGTTGACACACTGGGAGAATTTCGCAGGTTCCATTTCAGGTGCCTCTCGAGGTTAACGTTGTTCTTATTGGTTTCAATGGTGATGGAGGGTATAGATACTCCTTGGATGGGCATAGGCTGGAAGAATTCTTAAAGATGAGCTTTCCGCTTCATAGGCCCTCTTGTTTCGAGACAGGAGAACCAATTGATATTGAGCATCATATTATGTACAATGTCATAGCGGTAAGGCTTCATTTTAAGGTCTCATAATTATTCTTTTTACAATATGTCGCTGTTATTTTTATACTGTTCTATTGTAAAAAATATACTTCTTTAGGCTGGACAACCAGAGCTGATTTCTCTTGAGAAGTCACTTAAGGAGGCAATGGTTCCTGCAGGAACTGCAAGAGAGGTAATTGGGACTATATTATTTTCTAAAAAGTAGTGTTTAGTTGCTGTTCAAATCATTTATTGACACAGTTCATGGCACTAAATATTCTGTCCCTCCAGAGTGAATACGGCAGGGAATTCCCTCTTTTTGAGGTAGATGCGACTATGGTAGAGCCTGTATTCCAGAGGCTCTATTCATTTATTTTTGACATGGAACCTGGTTATTCATCAACTGAGATGGATAGGCCTGCGCCTGTTGCAATATTTGTCGTTAATTTTGATAAGGTATGGGGATTTTTATCTATCATTGTTTCTTTCTGTATCATATTATATTGACTGCCTAATCTTCTTATGTCATTCATACCTGTATGCAAATTCTAGACATTAGAAAGTGCAGTCCTTCATGGTAATACTGGATTCAAGGAGCATGTTGGTTTTGTTCATTTTTCCTGTCTTTTACTTTTGGAGAAAACAATAGAGGTGAACCCTAATGAAATTGTATTAATAAGCAATTGTACAAAGTTATTTAGAAAATAAGGAAAAGAGAAGGAAGCTAATTAAACCAATGAGAATTATACTCAAGAAAATTTGTTTTCCTTGTGTTTTTTATGAAAGAAATCTTACATAATCTGGTATGATCAAATGAGATTATAGGACACTAAATTTGACAAGGTGAAAGCTCATAAAGATCAAATCTGATTTCTTTTCCCTTGTGTTGTTTATGAAAGAAATCCTACATGCTTTTAGTTCACATATCTAGCTAGGGGCTAGGGATCTCACATGTATCCAATAGGGTCATGAAACATTAATTTGTTGGTTGCAGATTGCTAAGGCGACAACATTGTTCTACAATTGCATTTTTTTTATAGAAGGGATAAGTTATTTTGTAACTATCACTTAATAATTGGTATGTTTTTATTTGCAATAATATATATTACGATAACGTGCCTTGCACGTGCACGTTCACTAGTACTCAAGAAAACTCTCACTTTGTCAGATCTGAGTCTAAACCAGTCTGTCCATCTAAATGTGGTTGTTGATTTGTGATAAGAAAATGCTTTTGTTAAATTGTAACACATAGTCTAGTAGCTTCTTACTAACAGACAGGAGAAATAAAGTGCTCTTGTTGTCTATCTTTACCATTACACCTGAGAGTGGCATCAAACACCAATACAAGTTTTCCTTGGCAGGTAAGAATGGATCCTCGGAACAACGAAACTGATCTTGATAGTTTAATGTATGGTGCGATAGGAAGACTAACAGAACAAGAGCTAAAAAAACAAGAAGCAGATTACATCTACCGATACCGTTACAATGGTGGTGGTGCAACTCAAGTATGGCTGAGTTCTGGAAGGTGATTGTTCTTCTAAATTTCCAATTCTCTCTTCTTCTTTTTTGTTACAAGGTAGCTTTGCAACTTCTTTATCAATATTCAAGATGTAGTATGCATCAACTTCTTTATTACAAGGTAGCAGACACTAAAAATGACAAAATCAACCTGCATCTTGCCAGATCCAAACAGTAGTCTGTAGAAATAAAACCATACAAACATTATAAGCTATTGGATATTGCATTTCATAATAAACGTTGCAGCAAACCGTTCCATATACTTGTTTCTTTTTGTCACTCATTTCTTTATTGATAACCTATTTTTACCATTAAATGTATGTGCTAGCACTATTAGTTACTCTTCTAAAAGTAGGATTTGGGTGTTCTACACACACCCTGCCCTCTGTGTGTCATATACGTAGACATGCATGTTTTGTTTTCAAGATAAACAAAAAGCTCTCTTTGCACATGTGCATATCCGGGTTGCTAATTGATCTCATGTGGTCATGTATACAGTCTTTAGATATGAATATAATTATTTTTTTGCATTTTATTTTGAATCTATTTATTTGCCACCTACGGGCAGTATTCTAGTCTAGATTTTTGCATGCATTGATAAATCAATGTGTAAGAACCTTTTTGTCCAAGTATTGGCAAGTACACGAATAAATATATCTCTAAGCTTTCTATTCACCAGAAACAATATGCTGTAACAGGTAATGATTGAACCCGGATATATGCAAATATGCTCTTGGCTATATGTAAAAAATGTTTTTAGTTGCATCTATTCTCCAGTAAGATAGTCTACTGCCAGAATTTTACTTTGTAGTGCAGTTGATATTCGGACTGTCTCTCTTCAGCGCTATTTCAGAAAAGCCGTGCATTGTTTTTATATTTTATTGCTTATTATTGTTAGTTGCAAACAGGGTTGCAGATCCTGAAAAGAACCGATTAGTTCCACTTGAATTGGTATTAGGAACTTGTTTTGTTTCAGATTTATTGTGCAATTTTGGATGTAATACTTGTGACTATGGGAAATGAGGAAGACCCAGTTAAGAAATATTGATAGACAAAAGGGAAAATAACAAGTTGGCCAGAAAACAACAGTCCTCTGAACTAATGTTGAGCAAAACCGAAAGATCAACTGAGATGATTTTTGAAATACATGTATCATCTTGTGTGCATGATGTATGATGTATGATCCATGTCCAGCCCTGTCATATTTTACTGTTGATATTTCCATGTTGGATTTTTTCCCCCTTTATGCTATACTGGAATTATTTGAGCAACTGTAACCAAGCTCTGTATGCTGATATGCTCTAAACCACCACTGCATTGGTCCTTGCAGATTTGTTGTAATAGATCTGTCAGCAGGCCCTTGTACGTATGGAAAAATAGAAACTGAAGAGGGCAGTGTGAGTTATAGGTCATTGCCACGGCTATTAAATATAATCTTCCCAAGAGGGCTTGCTGCTCCCAGTGCTAGTTCAACACAAGATATTTTTATTGGGCAGCTTGGTGGGTTAATTTCAACTACCATTGAGCATGTTATTGCTCCTGATGTCAGGTATTGCTTGAAAGTTACCGTTTGGATCACAGTTGCTTTATCATCTGACAAAGTTAATTGGTAATTCCATTAATCAAATG